AGTAATTGGTGGTTGTATCCCCTGTCAGGATAAAAATTGTCAACACGAAAAGACAGGAATTTGAGAAAACGCCGCTGTATTCTTTCCAAGTGGTTACTGTATATTTGATAACATGGGTGCCAAATAAGGCTACAATATTCGAGTTTCGAACGTACGAGTGAATAGTATAGACTCTTCAATGCACCTATATCGGTAAAAGATTTTGTATTTCTTATAACAAAGCCTAGCATACTATAAGCGGATTTAATACTTGAATTAATATGATCAGCAAAAGACAATCTGCTGTCAAACATTACACCAAGATCCTTAATGTTCTGAAAACGAGTTAAAAGTGACATACCTATATTATAATCAAATATGAAAGGCTGATTTTTAAGAGTAAACGTACACACTTTGCATTTATTTTTGTTAACAGGTAAATAATTATCAGTACACCATATATAAACACGATCCACAAGGTCTTGCAATAACAAACAATCAGCCGCAGATGATATATTCAAGAACAATTTCAAGTCGTCGGCAAACATAAGATGATTTGACTTTAATGTTAGAGATAAGTCATTTACAAATAATATAAAAAGGAGTGGCCCCAAGTTAGAGCCTTGAGGTACTCCCGATGCCGCATTAAAAGTATTCGACTTGAAACCATTATAAGATACATACATCTTTCGATGATATAGGTAAGAATTGAAAAGGCGGAGTAAGCTATCACTGAAACCATACCGTTCCAACTTACATAGCAATATACTATGATTAACCTTGTCAAAGCCCTTTGAGAAGTCTGTGTAAATGACATCAACTTGCCCCTTGTCGTCAACATAGTTCGCCGTATACTGGGTAAACTCGGCCAGATTAGATAAAGTTGAACGATTCGAAAAAAAAAACATGCTGATTTGGTGATATGTACGACTTTAAGTTATCTAATATTTGTTTATACAGACACATCTCAAAGACCTTTGCAAAGTTATACAATATGGCAATAGGACGATAGTTTCTTACATCCGCAGGGTTACCGCTTTTTAAAATTGGACATACTCTTGTAAGTTTCCATCTATCAGGAAATTCGCCAGTTGATAAAGCAATATTGAATAACGTAAGATGCGGAGTGCATAGAACCCTCGAGCAATCCTTTACTAGAAAACTAGGAATCTGATCCTCACCACACGTCATTTTGTTTTTTTAGTTTACAGATTGCTAGAAGGACATCAGATTCCGTAAGCTGTTGTATGTTAATGCAGGATTGATAATAATTTAATGACAGATTTGGATTTTGAACATTTTCGATGGAAAAAGCGCTAGCAAAGAATTTAGAAAAAGTGTCAACAATTTGCAGGGGATCATCAAATTCTTGATCATCGAGAAAAACATGTTTTGGTATACTGGTGTGGCCTTTCTTATTCTGTACAAAGGACCAAAACCTTTTAGGATCACTTTTAATATTCGCTTGGCAGTCAACAAGATAATTATTGTAAGCCAAATGTAATTGATTTTTTATTAAGCGTCTCAAACGTGTAAACTCATTTAAGTGAAACAAGTTGTTTTAAATTTATTGTGGAGATAGCCTTTAACTCTAATATTGTTTATGATTTCGGTTGTGTACCAAACTGGAAATTTACGCTTAAATATAGTGAAGACTGGTATATGTTGGTCAAATAAATTATAAATATCTTGGTAAAATGCATCACATGCAGAGTTAACGTTAGTGAAGTTGTTTAGAAAGTCCCAATTTTTATGAAGAAGTGCATTATAAAGGTCCATAAAATTCGCTCTTTTAAAATTATAAGCCTTATTAAAGCGATTAGTAGGAAAATTTAATGGGTTACTTATGCATGTTTGAACCTGTATAACCAATGCAGGATGGTGATTATCCTCAGACACCACAGGCTGAGTTTCCCTCGAAACTACACATGATATATCCGAAATACACAGATCTAATATACGGTTATTTAGATTAGTGACAGTATTGAACTGCTGGAATCCATTGTACTGATGGAATTCGGAAATTAATCTCGTTTTGATGATGAAATGAAATTTGAAATGATATAGGATTCCAAGAAAGGAATAAGCCAATAAAGTTCTAATATCGTAACTACTATAACAATTTACAGCGGCAGGGGCGTGCCTCGAAATTATCCGCCATTGTCTTTCTACCTCGGGTGTTAAATGCGGTTACTTCAACAAATGTCGTACGGAATGGAACGATATTTTATTTTTATGACACTGATACTGAACTGACATGGCATGACATTGACATGGCGTCGATGTGTGTAAAAGACCTCTAAGGTCAAACATCAGTGCTGTATCAAAATATCGTTGCTTAGAGTTTGACTTGTTTATATATGTCCGACATAGTGACGTATTTACAGTACTGCCTGTGCCCTCTTTCCATGATTTTTAAATGACGATTCAATTTTTTCTTTTGTTATATGCTGCTTAGAGTTGCTGGACATTGGTTTTAAAAATAATATTTGCAATGATATAGGAAAAGAAATGAAAGTCCATGGTACGTAATTTAATACAATATTGTCGTATTCCATGTCCCGAACACGCCACCGAGTCCCAACATACAAGTTTCCGCTCAACTTTCCAATCGGAACCACGGAACCATCTTCAATCACTCTACCAAAGTAGAAACCTGTATGCGAAGTTACTCAGATTACCTTCCATGAGAAGTAGAGAAAATAAAAACGTTTGCGAAAAATGCAAAATCGAACAAGGGAACCGCAATTCAAGACCACACTACCACATCAGACTACAAGTCCATCACCCGTTCCATGCGACTACAATCCAAAGATGGACAAAACCTAGAGAGGCCAATTATCTAAACTTAAGGCGAATTTCGTTACGGAACCTCTGTGGATTTATCAAGGCATAGGATCAAACGTCGACCCTAATACCAGTTAATTAACCAGGAACGGAACCTGTTCAGTACATGTTATACACAACTTTTATTATTTGCGTTATACAATCAAAGAGAGTATATACACGTACTCATTTACTATTATTAGCAGAATTTCAATAAATACATTTTTAATCATTCAGAACATTGTTATAAATTCCATCCACTAGTCACTGTTCAATCCTGAGGTAAAGATCCCAAGGGATACAGCAAGCTCCTAGAGACCTAGAAGCTTCCCAAATTCATAGGTACTCATAGAACGCCTACACAAGCTTCCATATTTCTGGTAGATACAGGAGAGACTTCAAAACCAGTGCTAGGAAATGCAAAGTCTAAAAGAAATTGATATAAACACCTGAATAACCATACTCAGGTGGTCGCCAAAATTATTTATTGCATCTAGGCTCAGTTGAAAGAGTCCAGAAACCTTGCTATCCTTAAGATGTACAAATGGCAAAATAAATTTCCCAATTTTTCCGAAATGTACCTCTCCACCGATGAAGAACAATCGGCCAGCACGACGTATATACCTCCAAGCATCTGCGTAGGTTAGTCGGTTGGTGTGTTGAGGAAGATGTTCGAAAATTCCATTTGCCCTTTTGCCAGCGATCAGGACACGATAATCACGTCATTACATGAAATACATAGAGGGTCTCATTAAAAATACCGTTTCACCCGCTACTAGGGATAATTGCCGAGTTAATAATGAGACAATACTAAAATATACTAAATATCGGGACAGATAATCCCGTCATTACAGGAAATACATAGAGGGTCTTAGTAAAAATCCCGTTTCACGTGCTACTAGGGATAATTGCCGAGTTAATAATGAGGCAATACTAAAATATACTTAATATAGATTGCTTTAATAATATACTAGATGTATATAGAAATAATATACCCACATTTCATATTTTTACGCCTCAATTAAGAGATATATTTTTTTCAAATCTGTCGGCTTGAACACAGTATCTATTGTACACACTATGGACGGGGTCCGGGGTGTGTAAATTGACATCACTGATCTACCACTGTGGCACTGTGAAGCTGACTACAAATACAAAAACAAAATTCAGAGACATTGATCANCTTTTATTTCTATTGAGTGTTTTCCTCAAAGTTTTCAGTTCCCTGTTATACCATTTGATGTCAGATGATGTATATTTCAATTTGTACGGAAAACAATTATCCACAATGTTTACATATTTATTTAAAAAAGTGTTCATTAAATAGTTAGCATTCAAATTACTATATTGAATATCAGACCAATTTAGTGTTTCTAAATTTTCTAGAAATACATTACATTTCATCGTATCAATCACTCGAGTACGGTATGAACCCTTGGGTACTTTTTTATGTTCTTCTTCTACACAAATATATACTGACAAATGATCGGCTATATGTGTGTCCAATACTCCCGTTGAAAGAGAAGCAGAATTGATGTTAGTAATTACATTATCTAATTTTGATTTACTGTGAAGTGTAACTCTAGTAGGTTCATGTATAAAATGCTGTAAACCATACGTTGTAAATATATTACACAACAGATACTACACTTTGATCTTAGCCAGAGGCCGAGAAGCGATGCCTTTATAAATTCAAAGTTTGTTACATTTTAGAAGTTTGTAAGCTAACAATAGTGAGATGTAGTTCAGCGCCATCTATCCGAGGAAAGGTCTGTTAGTGTATATCAAGATATATGCATATTGTACCCCTCTTTATTTTTTATTCGTATAAATGTTAAATGCACTATGAGAACAATCTACAGTTTCCATTTAAAATATATATATATATTGACGGGATGTATTTGTTAATTCTGTAGTAATCCCTACTTAACATTTTTTTACTACATGACATCATGACAATAAATCTATAATTTATATACGTACATACCTACCTGGATTTCAGAATTGATTATAAACTTGTGGAGTAATTATTAGTGTTAAAATAAATAAAAGAGTCACTATTTTTGTATAAAACAAATAATTTATTAAATATCTCCGAAGTACTTAATTATAGAGTCGACTCAACGATGTTCGTGTATCAGTCGGAATTGAGTGCGTATTTATCGACACTGATACTACAACAATGGATTCGGAATCGTGAACGAGTTCAAACAATCGATTCCGACAAGGGAATTGGGGTATCGATAATTCCGAAACCTCTAATGGAAAGATCGGAAACATTTGGTCTAGCCCCATTGAGCTGGTTAACTATTCAATAAATAAGACGACAATTATGCCGATTCACCTTCTGTCCACCAAAGAGCAATGCAGATGGACAATGAATAAAATTGTATTTAATTATCTTAAGTGGGCCGATCCCGGTAGTAATGCAATACCGGGCCAACCCGCGACGAGGGTGGAGCAAGCCCCTAACCCCCATCAATTTCCAAAAATCAGTTTAATAATACTGGCCCCGCATGCGGGGCGTATCAGATATTAAGCTGATAAGAACAGATACTACACTTTGATCTTAGCCAGAGGCCGAGAAGCGATACTTTATAATTGGCGACATCTACTACAAGTTAGGGTTTAGTAACTTTGTAAAAGCGAAATGTTGTTCAGCGCCATCTATTGGAAGCGAACATTATTATTCTACCCATACATAAACGTATACTGGATTGGAAATAATGAAATTAATATTTATTTGTTCAAGAAATAGCCAAAACAAATAAGAACACTGAAAACGTTAAAACAATTGATTTATTGTATCACGTAGTTTATAATATACGTCTCATTTAATTCTGAAACTAACCGGATGATCACATTTTTCTTCTTTTCTTGTCTATTTAAGTATTTTTTCATGTAACAACGCTAAAAAATAAAATCTTTCAATTACGTTTCGTCTAGCCGTACCATAACATATATATGTTTTCTAAATTTGGCACGCCCAAACAAATATAAGCTTAAGTGCTCCTGTAACTACACTAATGTATTTAAATATTTCTGTCGACTGAATTTAAACTAGAGAAATTATAAATTTTTTAGATATGTACTTGCTTCTAAAAAATAACTATTCTGCTTGTAAAAGTTCCAAATTGGTCTGAGGCTCCACCAGGTCGGGCTCCATTTCCCTTGCAGATGTTAAATATGCTTTAGCCAAGTTGATCTTGCCTGTTTTGTGATGTAAAACAGCTAGATTGTTATAAGCCGAGGCATGTGTAGAGTCCAAAGATAAGCATAAAGTCAAGCAGCGTATTGCCAGCTCCATGTCTCCCGCTGCCTGAAAAAAAAAAAAAACAAAAATAGTGTTTTTGAAATTATTTTATAAGTAAATTTGTAAGTATAACTATTGTTTGTAGTCTTAGCTTTGATGTTCTGATTACCATAGCTCTTATTGGAAAAAACAAAATATTGCAATGGTCTAATTGAATTATACAGTTACTAACCGATAGATTCTACGATTAAGGGGTAATTCAAATTAAGTTAGTTACAAAATGTTTCGTATCTAAAATACCATGCATGGGAAGTGTCGCAATCTAGGCGTGTTTTGAAAGTCGAAAAATTATGGGTTTAAAATTGTGGATAGGTACATGAATTTTAACTAAAATTTATTTCGGCTATAGCTTTTGAATTTCCTATTGAACCATTTTTGAAAATTAATTCATTTTTACACATATCATATACCAGTAAAAGTCTACAGACCCTTGAAGTATTCCAGGAAAGTGTGAAGAAAATTTCTATTTTCTGTGACCATGCAGAAAGTTCATACCATATAAGTAGGTATATTTCTACTGTTTTATAAACTATGTTAATATACATATACCAGTGACAAAATCTGTGCAGTTGATGTTTGCCACACTTATTGAGACTTTTGAATTAACCATGAAATTCTGGTAGCATACTTTTTAACCAGTTTTCAAATATTTTTTTAGCAAAACGAACAGTTACTTCTGTTATTTTTACACAAAATCAAAAAATATTACGTTCTAATGAGAAAAGATTTATTTGTGAGTAGACTTAGGTTCTTAGTTCTTGATGCTCCATTAATTTTTTATTAATTATTGTAAAGGCAAAAAATTTTGTAAAATAAATATTTAAAAAATCGGCATTTTTGAATAAATTCAATTTGTTCTATAATTTGCCGGATGCGCCAATAACAACATAAAATTTCTACAAGAAAAAAATAATTATATTCTTACCTCAAAGGTTAGTGAAAAAGAAGACCAAAATGCTTTATAAATTTTGTCTAGCCACAAAATTCTTCATCCAAATGATTTGATGGGCTATGAAAATTAAAAAAAAAATACTGGAAATGAGTGACCAAAATTTTGATAAAACTTTCCAAATGTATGTATTTGGACCTGCTGAAAATACCGATGTGATAAGTTGTTCTCTAGTTCTAAAGTATAAAATAGCAATAAAAAAATGAGAGTTTAACATAGTTCCTGTCCAAGCAGTGTTCGTGCTACGAGATAATCAAACTAAAAAAAGAACAATATCTCCCTCCTCAAAATGAATTTTACAAGGTTGAATTAGCCCAGACTAGATGAAAAATCTTTTTGGCCTAAAATTTTCTAGAATAAAGAACTGATACCTATTTTTTAATGGGACATGGAACCTTTAAAAGAAGGTTTAATTAATGCCATTATTAAAACCCCTTAAGCACAGCTGCACCTACGTGGGCCCCAAATTCAAATTTGCCCAGTGCGCCATGATACTATAACGCGCCATACTGCTTAATATACATACCCGTATTTTTTGCGTTTGCAAACAAAATTCAATCCAAAAATACGAGACTGAATGTAGGTTAGGCTTTAGAAAAGCATTAAGTATACAGAACAGAACTCCATTAATATTACAATAATTATTATGACTGCGAAATATATAGACAGCGATAGCTATAAGACTTATAAATATGAAATACATGTCATGACTAGATTAAAAGTTTCTTTTGTGAATTTAAATATATGCTGAGTATTAGAGGCACTCCTCGCAGTGTGGCTTGTAGGAATAAAAAAATGTGTGTTGTATCTCATTGCATGTTTTCTACGTTACTACTACTAGAAGAGACTTTAATTGAAAACGTTCTGTAGTAAAATTATCCTTCAGCTTTAAAAGCTGAATATGTATATTCCCTTTTTTCATATTAACTTTTACTTAATTTGTAGTACGTAATGTAAAGTCAATATACAGGATGTTTATTAAGTACTTGTACAAATTTTAAGGGACGAATCTTTGACTAATTTTAAGAATTCATATGAACATGAGTTCGCAATGGCTTGGTTCTTGAGATAAAGAGCGTCCAAGAAAAAATTTCCGTAGTGGCCTCTGCACTGGTCGCATCCAATGCCTCTGAACGTTTCGCGGTTCTTCATTGTCTGTATCTTCAGTGGTAACTTTGCAAATGCTTCGTCGCGACTGACACTAGGGGTTCTAATAGCGATTCCGCCTTCACAGAGCCTAACCCGAGAATAACAAATCCAGGTCAAAGTTTCCTAGCTAAGGCGCTTTAAATAAGTTACTAATTATTTCTCAGTGCACGTTTCGCTGCTCAGTGCGACATCAGCGTGAAGAAAGTCCAAAGAGAAATCGGTTTAGTTAAAAAAGTCTTAGACCGCAGAAAAAGTAAAATAATTTGTTAATTCATTACATACAACACTAAGCGACTACTTAGCAAAACTTTAAAAGTATACAAGTGGATTCAGAAAGTAAAAACCAAAATCTTGTAATCACCCCCTCTTCTCCATCGCTTTTTGGATGGTAAATAGTGTACCTACCCAAGGAAAAAATTATGAAAAACTCGATATACTTGAACATGATTACATATTTTATAAATCTTTTTTTCTTTATCTTTAATAAAATGGTGATGTGGTCAAACATGTATCGTATTAGAAAAAGATTATTACTTACTATAGAAACCAGTTGTAGTAATTCTTATCTTTTTTAAGATAACTTCAAGGAAAAATTTTAACCAACTGTGTAAAAATTAAAAAATGTACTTAAAATTTAAAAAATCTGTTTTAGGATTTCTTCTAAAGCTAAAACCCGCCGTTCAATTATTTTTCCAATCTGGATCTGAAAAAGTAATTCAATAGTTGCTTACAACTTTATAAAAATAAGAACAGTGGAGAAAAGCGAGGAATAACGGAATGAATATTGTACATAATAATCATACCATAAGAGTCTTTAACTACCATAAGTTTAATCAAAATCGGTTATAAATAAGGATAGTTTTATAACTACTCTTAACAGAAATTTTTTGTTTTTTTTTAGTCTTTTGAATTATCAAGCAAATAATATTATTTTTTAATGAATTGGACTTTTTTGGAGAAAAAAATGTCTACTATTTTTTTCGAATTATGCGTAGTTTAGTCGGAAATATATACTATGTCTATAGTTGGTTGTGATAGCCACCCCTAGCCGGGGTTTCCAACAATTGTAGTATCATAATTGATTATTTGTTTTAACTCGTTCGTAGCATACTGAAGCAATGATATAAATAATGTACCTACTTACCTACTAAGAAATTTAAGAAAATCAATTTTGCTTTAATTGGCAAAGGGTACAAAAAATATATAAGAACAATAAATGAAGAAAATGCAAAATTTTCTTTGTGTTACAAGGTGATTTATTTATTTAATTTCGGAAAAAAGTTTTCGGAAAAAAGTAATAAATCTATAGCTTTTATACCTATCAGCATTCTATAAACATACATAACTTGTTAAAGTGGTTTAGAAATTAAAAGTTGAATTGATTTTTTTTTAATTTTGGAAACTCTGGAGCCCGAAAGTGACCACTAAATTACCTGATTTTAGTCCTAGAATACGTTTCTGAATTTTCTCTATGTACTTGGAAAACGGCTTGTATAACAGCACTATTGGCAGTTTTCAATAAAAACGCATTTCATAAGATATATCGCTCTTTCTGTACCTTTATCTTATGAGAAATTGGAACAAAATAATTTACTTTTATCTATAGGTATATCTGTATAAGCTGCTGACGGACGTCTAACTTTGTCTTGGTTTTTGAACTTTTAACCGTTTAACGTTGAATTTTATAAAAAAAACACTAATTCCGTAGAAACTAGATATATTTTGATCAAATTATGTATAAGTAGCCTCATGAAGCAACTGGATTGTACCATGTTTGAGGCGTATGTCGCCAATAGTTTTTGAGTAAATTATCAAAAACTGTGTTTTACGTCCAGTCTTTGAAGGATTGTATAGCACATAGGAACAGTTTAAAAAAAAGACAACATGATGGTACTAAGTACTCTGCATACCCTACATGTCCAATCCAACATTGAATTAAGTACAACCGTACTGTCTAGTAAACAGCTAGACATTCCTCATCTGCAACATTGTTTCTTTTTTTTTGTTTGTTAGTTGGTTAGTGAAAATTAGCTATAATGCCGCTGTTACTCCCAGATTTCGTCACTTTGCTTCATTAGCAAAACTGGAAACATGCGTTATATTTATTAGTCAGTCACCTCGAAACTTTGTAAACCTATCGTTCCCATTTAGAGTCATTAAATGCGCGTATTTAAATATCTATCTACTTACTATAGCTAGGTGCGACAAATTGTACCACACCTCGGCTCTAATCGGGGGCTCCGTCGCTAGGTTTAAAGCTCGCTGAAAGCAAGGGAGAGTGAGGTCCAGTTGCTGGGAGTACAGACAACACAGGCCCAAGTTGTTATATAACTCCGCTGAGTGGGCGCCCATCGCCAAGACACGCCTGAAAGAAATTTTCATAGTCAGGTTCGGCTCCAGGTGAATGTTTCGTCTGTTTATTCGATTGAGCATTTCTTTATTTATTACTTTACATAATTTTTTTTCAAAATGTATTTTTTGTTTCTTTTGGTATGATCCTAATCCTGCTATAGATTAATATTGTCACAAATACAAAGAAAATTTATGAAATAGTTTTCCCATAAGTGTGGCTGAACTTAAAGTGAGGCAATAATAACTTCAAATGATAATCTCATGACATTTATTTTATTTTTGAATATGTTCTTAAAATAATATTGTTTAAATGCTCTCCTCGACTTCGCCTGACTGAGTGAATTCTGGGGATCCAATTTTCGACAATTTCTAATTCAGGTGCATATTTTCAATGGTGTGTTGAGTATTCAGTTTAAGGTCGGAAATTATTTGTCACATAATACCACAGGAAAAAGGGGATAGATCACATCGTCTTGGTGGTTACTTGAAATAACACGTGCAGGAAACCGTTGTAAAAAATCAGTTGTATGACGAGATGTGTAACAAATCGCACCATCGTCTATCAGTTTAGGCTGAAGCTATTCTGTTAACATATCCCTGTAACGGTAACGCTCTCCATTAGATAACACTAACATGATTTCTATCATCGTCCTCAAAATATTAAGGTCTAATCACGCCTTGAGCCCAAAAACCACATCAAACGATGACTTTCTGAGGATAAAGAGGCACCTCTTGAATCACTTGAGGATTTTCATCAGCCTAAATTCTACAGTTATGTTTATTTATGAATCCACTGAGCCAGATATGCGCTTCATCGGAAAAAATGCTTTTCCCCAAAATATGGATCGATTTCGAACTACTCTAGAGATCAGTCCGTGAAAGTTCGACGCAAATAATGATCAACTGGCTTCAGTTCTTAAGTAATCTGGACTCTGTAAGAGATGAAGATCACGGTTTCGTCTGAGAAAGGCTAAATTCTTGAAGATGACGAAGAATAGAGGTAATCTGACTTACAACAACAATGTTCTCTTGTGATCGGGCAACCCAACGACGTATGGATGTTCACTTACCTGCATATGAATCATTCGGATGATCGATCATGTTGACCATAAATTGCTGGCAAAGTCCGAAACGTCTGACGAACAGAACCCGCACTGATTTGCGTATCTTTCCATGATAACTTGTCACAATGTACTAAATACAGTTGTCAATGTTTGATGTTGGCATTTCGAGTCAGGTTGTCAGCATTAGGTACATTTTAAAGTTCTGACACGCCTATTATATCTGCTCGTCAGCTCTGTTCTGTCCTAGTGGCGCATGGCGTCTTTAATGAGATGCAAACTTTTGTCTTGACACAAATATTGTCTATACAATACTATAATACATAAACAAACGATTTATGTTGATCGTGATACATAAGACCTAAAACGTGTGAATTCCAGATTAACAAATGAATCGTGTTAAAAAGTCAGTTTAAGTCTAAACATGAAAATAACTTAAAATATTTTGTCAAGTTTGAAGTAGCATTATCTGTTTTGCACCAATAAAGCGAATTATGTGAGGATGAATCTGGTAATTATTAGAAAAAAAGACAGAAAGTTGCTTCCCTGCCAATATGTGCCTTAATTTCGTTAGTTGTGTTCGTTAGTGACGTCACCATACTATATTTTTATTACTATTTCTCGTTCACCTGTTGATGTGTTCCGAAAAAACGAGGAATCTTACAGAATATGTGTTCCTTGCTTAATTCAATAAGGGCAAAGCACGTATAGATTTACACAGATACGTTTGCGTTTCTGATTTGCACTCTCACTTTTAACACGATCATAGATAAAAATAATACAAACTACTCTCAGCATTATTTACTCTTTATTTTATCGCCTACACCTAAATTATTGATATTATTAACTATTTATGAGTTATTATTTTTGAATTATGTAATCCATAAATTCATAGCTTTTAAGAAATATTTCTTACCTGTAATATCTCAAAGCTAGCTCTGGTTGACTGTTATAAAAATGGTACATCCCTATGCACGCTATGGCCTCGGTGTTCATGGCGTCCTCGATCACAATATTTCGATAATATTTCACGGAGGTTGGTGTATCATTCAACGCCTCCGACAAACGTGCCAATTCGGTCATTATGGATACATCTTTTGGAAAAATCTCCAAACCGGACTTGCAAATTTCTATCGCAGACAGAGGTTGATCTAAAGGAAACTGTAATAATTATTAATTTCTTACATACATACATACAAAAATTATCATATACTTTTTTAAAATCTGCAATTGTGTTCACTTTAACATCTTTCTGAAGAAATCTTATTAGTTAACATCCATATCAATCGTAAGTGAAATTCTAAACAGGGTGAATCATAATTAGGTCTAATAAATTTAATCTACTCAAAACGAATTAACCAAATATAACAGTATCAAAATGCTTTCTTCTTTTTCAAATATTTCGCAGAAACTAGTTATTTTAGCGGTATGAGACATGGGTTTTTTTAAAAACCAAATAGAAAAATATGGCAAAAAACAAATAATTGTTTCTAGTATTCTTAGAGGTTTTCATGTTTTAGGTAAAAATTATGTTCATCCATGTTTACCTTTGGTTATACCAAAAACTGCCCTATACCAAATTTTATTGAAATATTTTAAGAAGCAAAGAAATTACCTTAAAAATGGATTAAAACTCTTTAAGGATCTATAACTTTTTAAGAGATAATTTTGGTTCTGAAATATATTCACTCAAAAACTCTGTTTTATTTAAATATCATTATTAATAAATATACATTCTTTAAAAAGCGAAAAAAGAAGTGAGAAACATAAGATAATTAGACAGCTAGACATATTAACTCGAACCAAATCTATCTCACAACAGTTTCTCGAGTCAAACTATGACTAACCGAGTTAGCTGTTTTTTCACTCTAAACGTTATTTTGACATTTGAACATGCCCAAATGTAAAATACGATGACGTAAACTCAATAAGGGCAGTGCCTAACCTTATTTGACCATCTTAGGTAAATACTTATTTCTACCTTCCTAACATACCTAATCTGACGTATATTCTAGTAAGTCTAATAAAAGTCTCCACATGGTGATGCTGCTTTAGGGCACTTCTAAGTTGCTGTTCAGCTTCTCTTATCAAATTCAACGCTATATAGCATTTTGCCAGCTGAACCTTCCACCACCAATCCTTAAATTCGCAAAACTGCGTAGCTTGAACGGCGAGTTCCATGGCGTTCCTTATATCTCCTTCGTGATAGAAAAGGTACTCGAATAAAGGTTTTGATAACTTGGGATCTTTAGCGTACTTTGCAATGTTCAGTCTGGAAACTTGGATGAACGGGCCGTCTTTCTGTGACAACATAGCGGCTGTGCCCAAACGTATGGCTCTGGCCGATTGTCCTGTCACTGGCCTGGCGGTCCTCACGCGATCCAGAGCTGAACCGGGGCGATTTTGAGTTCCTGGCCGTGCTACTCCAGATATGGGACGACCGGTCGCCGTCCTCGGTCTCGTGCTATAAACAATGACTGGACTTAATATCGTTCGAATTCACTTCCGCATGTAATATCTAGTCAATAGCTAAAAATTATACTGTCCACAATCTATCAAAAATGCACATTATTATTTTTTTGGGACTATGCACTCCCTACGACTATTTTGTGGATTTTTGGAGACGGATTATCCACGATATTAAATTGGTCAGTTACCACCAAAAAGTATTGAAAGAGAATTATGTAGGACCAAGTAGGTTGACCACCTCGTTCATGCTACTTGAATCCATTGGATTATTTTATCTGATGAAGACACCTAAAAAAACTTGATGAATTAAGGCAAAAAGTCAATCATTGGCAGGTATGGTGCCAGTTGATATTTTACTTACATATAATTTGATGGCTGACGATTTTTACCTACTCAGAAAATAAGAAAAACATAATGCACGCCACTGACTAAAATGATAGGAATAAAATTTTTCTTTTTAAAACATTTTTCTTTATTTATATGCTCTACCGCATTTCATTGAAATCAATTTATGTAGATTGCCTCTGAGATGTAATAAAAAATTCAGTTAAGAACTCATTCATGTAATTTTAGAAAATCAGTGTACATGAGTATTATTCAAAAAACAGTTCATGGGTAATTTAAAGAAAAAGTAATAACAAAGAAAAGTTAATCTGCTGTAAGAAAAAAATAAAGCTTTTAGAGGATTTGGTACTTTGTAAAAATGTTTATAACTTCATAAACCATAACTCACCCTAGAGCACCAGTTTTTGGCTGTTCAGCAGTTTTCATGGATGTGCCAGGCCGAGGGGCAGAAGCCATAACATTTTCGTCTAAAAAATCACTCTCTGGAATTTCCTCACTTTCTATGTCATCCACGTATATCCTCTGAGTCATCGCGCGCATTTTTAAACACCATGCTGCTTGATCCAGAGGCTGCTTATCTAAGATACTTGTACATATGTCAATACATTTATCATACCTTCGTCGCCGAAATAAACTTAAAGTTAAATAAAAAGCATCCATGGAGTATCGGGGCAAAATATTAACAAACTACCAATTCGGGGATCGTATTTGTTTGTATTTAAAACCATGGGAACGAAATTATTGATTAATATAATTTTTACACCTGTTTGTTATCAGTTTTATCTCAACATGTCAACAAATATTAAAGATACTAAGGGCAAGAAAAAACAGCCTAAAAATGTCCAAACCCCAAAGAGGGAAAGGAAATGTAAGCTGATGAAATTAAAACTTCATCAGTTGTTGGACGAAACGGAAATAACGGAATTACATGAAATTTTTGATACGAAGGAAGGTAGAAGGATGGATAAAGACGAACTGAAGGAAGTTTTGTACGAATACGGCAGTGTCGAATATGATGATAAAACATATGATACTCTATTTAAGCAAATGAATTCTTCTTGGTAAAAATATTTCACTTTTGAGTTTTTTCACGTGACGTCAATATTGACATGATTCGAAAATAATATTTTATATATTTTTTTCACATATATTCATGTTATTGAAATATTATGATTACGAACAATATTGGTGTCAGTAATGTCAATTAGTCTGAAAAAGAAACAGTGTATTAATGGTTGCCGTCTTACCAGTTATGATGGGCATTAACGAATTGCAAATGTGTATAAGTAGATATTTCATTAGATAGGTAGCTAATCAACATTTTCCAAGAAAATAATAATTTCTGTGTTATTTGCTTATTATCATTCAGGAATAGTTCGCCCCACTTTTAAAAAAGGACACTTGCTATTACACAAAATTATTGTTAATACAGGGTGTCTCATAATTAGCTGCCAACCCTGAACAGGCCGATTCTATGATCAAAACTAAGTAAAAAAGTTCATATGAACATGGGTCCGGAAATGCTTCCTAAGGGCACAGGGACCCATTGAAGAGGGAGGAATGGAAATCATTTTTTTGCAATATCTCTCAATCGCGTTGTGATAAATGAATGAAATTTGGTATACACAGCTAAATTTTGATGAGCAATTTGATGGACTAATCCATTTATTTCCACAAGGTCCATTGGGGTGGGTACGGGGGGGCCCTTGGTACTTTGCGTGTGTAACTTTTTCATCTTTGACTTTTTAACAAATTGGACAGCAAATTCCGTTTTCCCGAACTGTTTTACGTTAAAAAGGTACTCTTGTTTCAAATCGTTATCTTTAACGGTTTCTGAGAAAATCGCTCTTGAATTAATCCCACTTTGGTCAATTTCATAGTAATTTAAACAAAAAATAATAATAATAATTTAATACGTAATCAGTAATACACATTATTGATGTAGAACAATTATGATATGATGATTTGTTTATGGCTTTTGCGATGGTAATGCTGCGCGGCAGAACGCGAGTACGGCAGAAGGTTTCCAAACAGAAGGCTGACATCAAGGAGGACATTCCTCACTGTATTCCGCAATTTAGCTGCAACCGTCACTTTTCGAAGGGATCATAAGATGGAAACTTAATTTTGATAACAGACAACAAGCTATTTTAAAAACTGTTCAAAAAACCCTCCACCTTCTCTGATACAAAGTCTTGCCCTACGTGTAACACTTCTCGAAGCTATTAAGATGCTAAAACGGTTTTGACGAATTTCATTGGCTGCATCATTGATACGCTGCAGCAATTCCTCACGGGTATCGACTTCGGTGGCGTAAACTTTTTGATTTAGATATCCCCAGAAAAAGAAGTCCAGCGGGGTTAGGTCGGGAGAACGCGGCGGCCAAGCTACCGGTCCGTGCCTCCCTATCCACCGTCCAGCGAAATTTTCGTTTAGGAAATTTAGAACATTGCGACCACTATGTGCCGGGGCTCCATCGTGTTGAAAAAACATGTTACGTCGTAAATTTAGAGGCAGATCATCGAGAATTTGGGGAAGATTTTCTTGAAGTAAGTTTAAATAAAGATTTGAATTGAGACGTTGTGGAATTTCAATAGGTCCAATCAGAGTGTCGTGAATTATTCCCGCCCATAAATTTATGGAAAACCGTTGCTGGAAGTTTGTTCTCCGAACAACATGTGGGTTCTCTTCTTCCCAATAATGAGAATTATGAAAATTTAATTTTCCATTTCGGGTAAAAGTAGCTTCGTCACACCACAAAATTTTGGAAGCTTGCTCGTTGTCCAGCGACAAAATCCAGCGACAAAATTGCATACGTGGCGCAAAATCTTCTGGTATCAAGCCATGTACACGTCGATAGTGATAGGCATGTAGACCTTGTCGCTTTAATATTCTTCCAACCTGAAATGTTAGTAGCACATCTAATCAATTCTGTTAAGGAAATCTTTAAGATATGTAGTACCGTTGGCCGAGGAACATTTATTTGCCTTGAAATGTTCCGTATGCTAGTCGTAGGATCTTGTTCAATAGCGTCAAGGACCTCCGCTTCCCTATTAATCCTGGGACGTCCTTGACCCGGTGCCTTTCGAAAAGTGGCGGTTGCAGCTAAGTTGCGGAATACCGTAGGGAATGTCCTCCTTGATGGCAGCCTTCGGTTTGGAAACCTTCTCCCGTACTCGCGTTCTGCCGCTGCAGCATTACCATCGCAAAAGCCATAAATAAATATCATATCAACTAACTCTTGTCCCGTAAACTCTTCCATTTTTTTCGCTTAGAACTATTAAATTGGCAATCGGGTTGACAATACTTTGACATAAGAATACCTTGATTATTTTGTTTAAATTACTATGAAATTGACCAAAGTGGGATTAATTCAAGAGCGATTTTCTCAGAAACCGTTAAAGATAACGATTTGAAACAAGAGTACCTTTTTAACGTAAAACAGTTCGGGAAAACGGAATTTGCTGTCCAATTTGTTAAAAAGTCAAAGATGAAAAAGTTACACACGCAAAGTACCAAGGGCCCCCCCGTACCCACCCCAATGGACCTTGTGGAAATAAATGGATTAGTCCATCAAATTGCTCATCAAAATTTAGCTGTGTATACCAAATTTCATTCATTTATCACAACGCGATTGAGAGATATTGCAAAAAAATGATTTCCATTCCTCCCTCTTCAATGGGTCCCTGTGCCCTTAGGAAGCATTTCCGGACCCATGTTCATATGAACTTTTTTACTTAGTTTTGATCATAGAATCGGCCTGTTCAGGGTTGGCAGCTAATTATGAGACACCCTGTATATGGGGGTACAATGTGATTTTGTTTCAGCGATGGTTACGTAACATGGCATGAATTCATATCTTATCTTATTCTTGGTTTCCAAGAACAAGAAATTGGCATGGAATACAAAACCTTAGATGCGCCTATACCAACTCCACCGCTGATGATGAGAAGCAACCACCGCCATCGAGTCAACAGGATAGCTTTTTTTCCAACAGTAAAATTAGACCGTACGTGCAATTGGCATGATGGTAGCATCATTACTTGCAGCCAAGATGGAGTTGTAAATTATTGGTCACTAGATATGCAATTAGAAAGGTCTGCCCAATCAACATGTCCAATGTTAAAAGTACAAACTACTTTGGTCACCGACATGGCGGTATTACCAGACGTAAGTGTAATATGTACGTCTAGTTCAGAAAGAGATCTAAGGTTCTACGACACCTCCGCGAGAAAATTTGAGTTACGCGTGATGATCACCTCCTTACCTGATGCAATAACGACCATGTTTTACAAATTTTACACTGATATAAACGTCCCTTCTAAACTGATCATGGGAGATATGGGAGGGAGTATACGGGTCATTCAATTTCAGTCTGAAGCTAGAGGACCTTTTAAAAGTCAACCAGGAATACCACTGCTATGTGTCCGTTATGAGAGTGCTCTTAAACATGCAATACCTAATCTAACAATTTCAGAATTCCCTTTCGTTCACAACGATTTCATAAGACAAGTGTCTTACTATTCAGCTCTACACTGCATAGTTTCCTGTTCGCAAAGCAACAAAGCTGTCATCATGACTGATATATCGGATGGCAAGAAGAGTTATGTTTACAAAATTTTCGCTGGCGCCTGGTGTTTTGCTTTGGAAGAGACGGCGCACATGGTAGCAACTGGAGGTCCAGATTGTTTGGTACGCATCTGGAACCCATTCATACCCCGCAGAGCCACTTGCACCTTCTACGGGCACCACACTGGTATAGTGCAAGTGGTGTTTCAAGATAATGGGAAAAGGCTGTACAGTCTGTCGAAAGATAAATGCATAAAAGTCTGGGATATCGGGATGCAAGCTTTGGTGCAGACTTATTTGGAGTTACCGACACATTTAGGTGATTCAAGTGAGATAAGTGCTCTCTACAATCCGGAGAGTAGACAGTGGATCGTAGGCAGCAATATGATCGCTGTCCTCTCTTTAAGTCCCAATCCGAGTTCTGAACATACGGACGGAAATACTCACATTGGTGGAGTGTCAGTCGTCCTCTACAATAAACTATATAAGGTAGTGTGTTTTGAGAACTACTTTAATGATCATTAAGGTCTAATACCACAGCATAGTATAGATAGATCTGTTAGGACATGGGATTAATTAATGAATTAGAATCCGCCATCGAAATTATTCGGCCTTCACACTATAGTTTCAGCTGACATCTGTATGAAAATCAGCCAGTGATCATCAAAATGTTGTAATAGGTGACGTACTCAAGATGTAAATTCAATTTGGTAATTTAATACGAGCAAAAAAAATTAATTGTAAATTTTTGAATTGACTGGATATTGCAATTCACGCTTATGATTTAGAATGTTTACTATATTACTGGAGACGATTCGCAATAGTGTGGTGGTATTAAGCGATTAGGGTAATACCATGGAACAATATGATCAAGTATCCACAAAACATGTAGGTAACATAGGAGAAAAGTATAGGGAGTAAACATAACCGAATATATGAATGAATTTTGAAATTGGTTTGGTGCGAAGGTGCAGCTGTCCCAACTCATCTATCTATACTGTGATCACAGTTTGTATAATAACTAAGCTGCGAAAGTAAAAATTATGAAAAATAGACTATCTTGCAATCTTGCAAAAGTATAACTTTAAAGTATAAAAAAAAACATGGAAAGACCTAAAGCATTTTTGTTGGATACTAAAAAATTAATATTAAAATACAATAGTTTAACCAGTGATTGTCTGCTGCTTGCAGCACAGTGGTTTGGTTTGCTTTTTTATTTTAATTCATCTGTATATACAAAGCCTCATAAATGTTTACCAGCCACGTAACCGCCGAGCTTAGATAACCAACATTGCACGCCGGGTTGCTACTGGTAACAAAAATATATACAGGATGATTTCACTTTAAATACAGAAAATGCATGACTAGATTCACTACCAAAAAATATGTAGAGTTTGCTCTATAAACATTTTTCCTGCGGGACTAGTTATTCGAGATACAGGATGTTAAGTTTAAAAAAATATATTTTTTTCTGTTATATCTTCATAATGCGCTGACAGGATTTACTACAGCGTATTCACTTAGATTAGACCTTTTATTGAATGTGATATTAACCTAGTCGCTTTAACCAGTGACGCGCTATAGGAGGTGCTGCCCCATTTTCCTAAGAAAAAAATACGCAACTGGCGTTTTTTTGTAGACATAATGTTCCAATTAAGGTACTGTGACATTAAATGAATGAAAAATGTTTCTTGGTGTTTATTAATAGTAGCAGCCGTTTAGGAGATATTTGGTCTTGTTTTTACGTTTTATTGAATTTTCCTTATAAATGAATCTGTTTATTTGATGAAAACCTCCTGGTTTTAACCAGTGACGTGCTACTAAAGCGCCCGTCACTTTTCCCAAGAAAAGAATACGCAACTGGCTGTTATTTCTGGAAAAAATATCAAAACTAAATATTAAAGTAACATTTGCAAAAAGGTCGAGTAAGTAATTATGTAACGAGACCTATAGCAATGAATTGTCCAAAATGAAGTCCTTCCGCGTCGATACACTTTTAACATCTAATCTATTTATAGAAGAACTAACTTATCATGACATAATTTTCCCTGAGATTGCAATTTTCCCCTATTCTTTGCCACAATTCGTCTCGTGTTCGTGCCCAACAAGTATTGTAGGTTCAGAAATAAATTAACAAAGCTAGATATAATACTAAAACGAGATCACCGTAAAACTTATTTATTGATAATGCAGACAAAAGATTTTATGCTGATGGAGTAAGTGCAGAAAATTTGCGCATTATGATCGCCAAATAAGTAAATTATCTTCTAAACAGCTGCTACTATTAAAAAATACCTAGAATCACTTTTCATTCGTTTAACGTAACAGTACCTGAATTTAACATTATTTATACAAAAAACTGCCAGTGGCGTATTTTTGTCTTGAAACAAAAAAAAACGGAGAGACATCTTCAGTAGTACACCACTGGTTAAAGTCCAAATTGTTCATCGTAATATGAAGATATGACCGAAAATAAATATTTTTTTTGGAAACTTGAACACTCCGTATCTCGAATACCCTAGGAAAAAAGTCTATAAAGCAAACTCTACTTATTTTTTGGAAACTAATCTCTTCCTGAAGTTTCTGTATTTAAAGTGAAATCACCCTGTATAATATAAATATATAATAAATATACAGAGTGTTAATTAAGTATGTACAATAAATTCAACAGACGATTATTTGAGTCGTTTTAAGACAAAAAGTTCATATAAATATTGGTCCGCAAATGCTTCGTTTTCAAGATACAGAGTATTAAACTTTTGTAAAAAAATTGCTATTTCGTGAATATCTTAAACACACTTTACCCAATTAGTGTTAAGGGGCTAATTTAACCCTAACTTCATTAGATTTGTTAAGTCCAGTGGCGTCCCGAGCGGTACCTTAACGAATATTTTTCATAATGTTTCTTGTGGGGTCCAGGAATATGTAATTAAGTAAGTGGATTTAATTTTTTTTTCATCAAAAATTTATGAAGATACGAAAAACATTCAGGAGACAAAAAAATTGTAATTTTCGTTGCTTAATCCAGGAAAAAAAGAAAAATTACAAAAAAGTAAGTGGCGTACATTTTTTTTGTCAAAAATATTCGTTAAGGTACCGCTCGGGACGCCACTGGATTTAACAAATCTAATCAAGTTTGGGTTAAATTAGCCCCTTAACAGTACAAGTAACATTGCCAAATTACAACAAAATTGGGTAAAGGGTATTTAAGATATTTGCGAAATAGCAATTTTTTTACAAAAGTTTAGCACCCTGTATCTTGAAGACGAAGCATCTGCGGACTAATGTTTATATGAACTTTTTGTCTAAAAATCACTCAAATAATCGTCTGTTGAATTTATTGTACATACTTAATTAACATCCTGTATAATAAAATATTAATGATTCGTCTACAATGAATAATGACAAACCGTTATGTTTACGCTCGAATTAATGCGATATTTGACTGGTTGTATAGAATCTCGTGAAAAATTACTCCAATCACAGCCGGTGAAACAGAATGATGTGTTTTAATCTAATCTTGATCTTATTGTTTTAATTTAAACAAAATTTAATTGCAACCGTGAAGAATATAAAATTACTGTTCCAAATAAAACTACTGGTTACGTGACTTGTAATTATTTATGAAGACTCTGTAAGTATATAGAATGTGTCACAACCAATGGATTAATATATTCAAAATGCATAAAATGACTGAATTTACATATTTCTTATATAATATGACAATAGAAATTGTATATTTTTAGTGTTTGTTAAAAGTCTACATATACAGGATGTGTCTAATGGAAAATACCTACTTTAAAATATTTTTACAAAGGATTTTTTTAGGATAGCTGAAACAGAGTATAAATTTATTTTTCACATAACGTGATAAGTCACTTTATTTGTTATAAAAAAATTATACTTATTTCGAAAACAAATGGATTCTAAGTTTCTACTACGGTTATAAGTTCCACACAGTTGAATATTTGGATGCTAATATTACCAAATGTTATTCTTTTGCTAAAATGCTTTTCTTGAACTTTTTTGTAATTTATTTATTATTTATAATTAAAAAAATGTTTGGTTTAATTAGCTTAAAATACGTCAAGAAACAGTGCATACGTCTATATTACTATATATTCTGAATAACATTATTTGAAAATATCCGTATGTCCCTTACTTACAGTCACCACAAGTCAAAAATGAATACAGTCCGTACGATATTTGTTGAGATAGAATTCCAAGAAGACCCCTGCGTCGCTTTCTTGGAATTAACCGCATTCGACACCGGAGGTAGAAAGACCTTGGCGGCGTGGCGTTCACCGTAGCAGCTTGCTGTGCATATTGTGTTTTGCAGTTACGAAGGCATGTTTCTTTACTCTTTCCTTGAAATTCTATCTCAACAAATATCGTACGGACCGTAATTTTCTCTTTATATTAATGACTTTGAAATACATCGCATCATCGTATTTCAGAAAGTAGTAACATGCGGCTTGGACAGTTTTATAATAGTCTGGAATCCGTTTGACGGAAGACGTCTGCTGATCATCAGGGAGGCCCATACGGTTTTGGTGCATGGAGCAATAAAACCCGTAGAAATTACGGCGGCCACCTTTGATNTTTTGGATAAGTTGTAAATCACCCTGTATATTCTGAATAACATTATTTGAAAATATCCGTATGTCCCTTACTTACAGTCACCACAAGTGAAAAATGAATACAGTCCGTACGATATTTGTTGAGATACAATTCCAAGAAGACCCCTGCGTCACTTTCTTGGAATTAACCGCATTCGACATCGGAAGTAGAAAGACATTGGCGGCGTGGCGTTCACCGTAGCAGCTTGCTGTGCATATTGTGTTTTGCAGTTACGAAGGCATGTTTCTTTACTTTTCCTTGAAATTCTATCTCAACAAATATCGTACGGACCGTAATTTTCTCTTTATATTAATGACTTTGAAATACATCGCATCATCGTATTTCAGAAAGTAGTAACGTGCGGCTTGGACAGTTTTATAATAGTCTGGAATCCGTTTGACGGAAGACGTCTGCTGATCATCAGGGAGGCCCATACGGTTTTGGTGCATGGAGCAATAAAACCCGTAGAAATTACGGCGGCCACCTTTGATCCAGGCTATCAGCGTTTGCTCACAGGAGCCCACGACGGCACTCTGAAAATTTGGAGTTTCAATTCGGGCACCTGTTTGCGTAACATGAAAACGTGGAAGTGGTCGGAGATAAAATCGGTTATCTGGGTGAATAATAGAATAATGGCGACCGGATGGAATAGGCGCATCATCGAGTTTGCCGATACTGGGGAAGCAGTTGGTCCAGGGGGAGCTTACAGGTAATAAATAGTATGAAAGCTTCAAAACTGCAATTTTCTCTAAAGATTACGAAGAAAAGTCATCAAATAAGACGACAGAAAAAGTATTCAATCTATGAATACTGAATACAATATTCAAATACTCGAACACAAAATACTTACAAGTATACAGGGTGTTCTGGAAAACACTAGCATAAATTCAGGGCCTGATTGAGTTTCAGAAAATATTACAATTTGTTCCTGTGAACTATGGGCGTATCTTTTTCGGTTTTCAAGATACAGGGCGTTGAAAATAATTTTTTAGAATCGAGTTTCGGTACTATCTTCCACAAAATTCAACCGAATGAACTGAAATTTTGTTATGTAGGATTTCTGGGGATGCTAAATTCTCTGGGCAGTACTACGCGGGAATATTTTAGGTCCTAACTTGCTGTTATGGCAAATTTTATTCTAAACAAAAAAAGGTGCTCTTGAGCTATTGTAAGAAGTGCTAAAATTTTACCCGTTTTCTAGAGAAACCAGGCATAGTGCGCTAAAGTCAAGCAGTTAGTATTCCAGATTGTTGTTTTTTATTTCAAGTAGGCTTGTGTCAAATGTGTCAAATAAACGTGTTATTATTATCAGAACAAGTATTTATTTTAATTCGTGTAATAAGAAATGTCTGCTTGCTACGGTATGAATAACGGTAATAATTATTCAAACTCGGAATATACCGATATGTTGCTGCCTTTAGGCGAGTGTTTAGGGAACATTTTTGCTGATGTAAGGCGATACTAGGAAAAATTTCATTGTCACAGGTTACCAAATAGAAATACATTTTTGTCCGTTGAAAGGCGATGCCGGGAGACAGGCTCGTTTAAGCCAGAAAAGGTAAATTCGGGAGGACCAAGAACTGCAAGGACTGCTGAAAAAGAGGAAAATATATTAGATATGGTATTTCAGGAACCTTCGTGAATATCAAAAAATTATCACAAAGAGCAAATGTGTCCGTGTGTGGTACTTGGGAAATTTTAAAAGAGCAACAGTTACACCCATATCATTATACAAAAGTGCAAGAGTTATTACCAAAAGATTACGAGCTCCAAACAGATTTTTGTCAATTGCTGAAAGAAAGACAAAATGAAAATCCGAATTTCCTACGACCTATCCTTTTTACGGACGAAGCGACTGTCACTCGAACTCATAATGGACTGAAGAAAATCCTAGGGCCAAAAAGAAGTCCCATTTTCAACATTAATTTAAAGTAAATGTTTGGACTGCCACAATGAGGAATCAGTTAATAGGATACCACATTCTGGATGGTAATTTACATACTTGATTTAGATTTCTTAAGAAAAAGTTTGTTCGAAATTATTGAAGATGATATTCCACTATTAGCAAAAAATAATTATTATTTCATGCATGATGGCGCTCCATCACATTTTACTCGAGTATGCAGAGAATGGCATCATGAAAATTTTTCTGGGCGATGGCTTGGTCGATGTGCAGATGCTCCAATTCACTGGCCTCCAAGGTCACCCCTTGATTATGTAGTTTGGAGTTTTGCCAAACAAAAAGTATATGAAACAGAAATGAATTCAGCAGAACATTTGAGACAAAAATTGTTGATGTTTTCAACCATATAACTAAGTAATAATTCAGAACCTTTGAAAAATACATTGTGTTCATTACAAAAAAGATTGGAGGACATTTTATTTTCCTTAAATTTTAATTTTCTGTTAGTTTAGTTACTCTTGTTGTTTTTCTTTTTTTCAATTATATTCAGTATGTGTTAAACATTTCCACAAATAAATTATTACTTTTTATCATTACCATTAACAGAATTACTTTGATTTTGAGTTTTATTACTGAAACTAATAGTAATAGTGACTAGGTGCCAAAGCCTACTTGAAATAAAAAATAACAATTTGGGATACTAGCTGTTTGACTTCGGCGCACTATGACTGGTTTTTCTCGAAAACGGGCAAATTTTAGCACTTCTTACAAGAGCGCCTTTTTTAAAATAAAATTTGCCATAACAGCAAGTGACAAAAGGTGCAAAAAGATTAACCGCAAAAAAGTTAGGACCTAAAATGTTCCCGCAGAGTACTGTACTGAACGCCCTGTATGATATAGTCAAAAATTAATAACTCCAGAGCAATTAGCATTCCCAGAAACTCCACATATCAAAATTTCAGTTCATTCGGTTGAATTTCGTGAAAGATAGGACCGAAACTAGATTCTAAAAAATCATTTTCAACGCCCTGTATCTTGAAAACGGAAAAAGATATGCCCATGGTTTATGGAAACAAATTGTAATATTTTTTGAAATTCTGTCAGGCCCTGAATTTATGCCATAATTTTTCAGAACGCCTTATACATATTACGAATACAATGTTCAAAAAACTATTTTTGCATCAAAATGAATAAGAGAGATATATAGTGTCTCTTAGGTCGTTGTATCAAACTAAAATAAGTACAAACATGAAATGAGATATTTTATAAGTTCAGAAAGTGTATCTTTAAATATTTTGAAAATATTAAATTTACTTTTAATTTGATTTTCTGAAAAAATATCTCTGTGGTTGTGTTTGTTCACATCCGGTATAAGTTCGTTTTGACATTTTTTCTGGAGTTATAAAAAAAAGATATTTGAATAAAGTCGATATGCAGATTTTTAGTTATTTAGAAAATTTAAATATTTTAATACAGCCCTGTTACCTCTTAACATCTTGAGGACAAATAAAGTAATAATCCGCATTATAAAATATAACTTACATCAAAGTAAAATATCGGTCATTTTTTTAAGAGATTCATTGATGATCCATGATGCGTACAAGCTATATAAGTATAGCCTTTCTGCTATCTATTTCCAATTTTCAGCAAAAATTGGGACCTGCGGCACACGGAAGACATAAGTTCGGCAGCTGTCCGAGTACCTGAAACTGTGGCTACTAGTTCTTATGCAGGAGAACTGATCTTATGGCGTCTGGAGACTGGTCAGCCTTATAAAAAGTTTAACGTGTCAAATCCTACTGCCAGAATCAAAATCCATTATCAATTAGCAAAGACGGAGAAACCTGTTAAAGAAGAGTACATTCACCATAAGAGGAAATCGATGGTATCGTCCAGTACTATTTTTAAGGATAGCAAGAGGTTTTCTCACCAAGTGTGTGCGTATATGTAAAAAATAATAGAAAAAAATCGGTGATTTTCGTTGTGATGTTTTCATTTCTATATTCATCTTCTACTTATAATATGTTTGAATGATATTGTTAATTAGTTCTTCATTGCCTCCTTAAAATTTATTAACATCAAAAGAAGTGCTACCTAATTGCTTCTGTAAAGCATTTGGAAATACTAAAATTACGAAAAGCATATACGATGTAAGTATGTTCAGAAAATAACGGAACTTTCCGAAATACGCGTTAATTTAGTGATATGCTATTGGCCGCATGACGTTGTGCATAATCTCCTCTTAACCACATGTTCTTGAATTAATGATATCTCTTTTGGTTTTCGTGATATTATTTGAGTGTAACGCGTTTAAATGTTAGTGACGATTTTTGAAATGTGCTGTTTTTTGGAACAACGATGCAACGTAAAATTTTTCGTGAAACTGGGAAAAACATTCACGGAAAAAGTGGTCGTCAGTCAATTGAAGATGATCCTCGACCAGGAAGACATTCGACTTCAACTGATGACTTGACCATGTTTAGAAAATCAAAGATTTGATGCATGTAAGTCGCCAGAGACATTGCTGAAGAGGTTAGCATCTCAATAGGGTTATGCCATGACATTTTGACTGAAAAACTGAACACGCATCGAGTTGCAGCATAATTTTTTCCTCGTTTGATGACCGAACAACACAGAAAATCGTGTGGACTTTTATTGGCAACTAGTTGAACAATCCAATGACGATGAAACATTCATTCAAAAGATCATAACGGGAGACGAAAGCTGGATTTACGGCTACAACATTGAGACTAAAGTTCAATCGTCACAATGGATTGGCTAAGGACCTCCAGCCACCAAGAAAGTACGTCAATCTCGATCCAATGTCAAAGTGATGCTTACTGTTTTAATGGAATTTTGCATTTTCAAATCTTGCCTCAAGGTAATACTGTGAACCGTATCTACTATCAAGGCGTTTTACAATGATTACGTGAAAATATCCGCAAAAAGAGATCAGAGTTGCATCATGACAATGCGCTTGCATACTTAGCTTTGTCAGTTCGTCAGTTTTGTGTCCCTCACCCTCCTTACTCGCCAGACCTAGCTCCTTGTGATTTTTTCTTATTTCCGAAATTAAAATCAGTGCTGAAAGGACTGAATGGACGTCGCTTTCAGACTATTGTTGACATCTAAGTAAATTCGTCACAGACTTTAAAGGCCATTTCAAATGAAGCTTCATGAAATAGAAACACTGTGGGGAAAAGTGTGTGAATAGAAGAGGGGAGTACTTCGAAAGAGACGAGGACCAATAATATATAAAATTAATTTTTTTTTAGTTTAGAAAAATAATGTTCGGTTATTTTCTGAATAAGCCTGTGTTTATTTCTGTTTCATTTTTTATGTTAGATAACATGAAATTACTCCAAAAGTTAGTCATTTGTCATTTAACATGAAACATTTTCAGTTCGTCGACAAGACAAAAGACGAAAAGTGTCTACTGTAGCGGTACCAGACGAATGTTTCCATTTAAGAAAATTGTCGGTGCATTGTATGATTTTCCTTAATGCCCGAAAAAGTGATCCGGAAGTCGGCACCCTTCTGGTGGCTCTGGAAAATGGAGTGGTACAAGTTTGGAATCATCACGTGCAAGGATCTTTCATAACATCGTTTTCTGCCATTCATAAGGCGGGCGACTATGTCATTTCGATGACTACAGACGAAAACAACGAGTTTCTTTTTACTGGTATTAAATAATATTTGTGACCTTGAAATAGTTAACAGGAATATCGTTTTAAGTCCAATCAATCTGTCACGGTCTTATGTTAAATTAAAAAAAAATACCACCTGGAAACAAAAAATATTTTTCCTGTGGCACATAAACGGCGAAGTTAACCTAAAAAATTAATAAAAGTAAAAAAACGGGTTTTCGCTAATAAAAAAACTTGAACTCCAATCGAAAAAAAGTTGAATGAGAAAGTTGTAGCTATCAAAAAAACCTATCGATCCGTATTTTTAAACATATCAATTGCTATGTTACTTTTCGAGATATATCGAAAAAACCGTCAAAAATCGACTTTTTTTGTTTTTGCTATATCTCTTGCAAATAAAAGTTTTAAAACTTGTTACTTGATGCAAATGTAGCTCTCGGCAAGCAAAACAGTACTTTTTTTTAAATTAAAAAATGTTCAAAATGTTTCGAGTTATATCGATTTGTCGAAAAAAAGGTCATTTCGGAAATCGGCTCTTCTTGCTCGACGAATAGTGGTAGAGAAACGAATCAGGGCTCATTTTTTCCTTTGAGTTGTACTTTCATGGTAAAAAAGAGTGATACCCATTTTATTCATTTCAAGTGTCCAAAGATGATTTTGAAAAAAGTAAAAATTTTTTGGTCGTGTTTTTCTTGAATATCTTTTTTGATTTTCATTTCTGGATAATGTCTATTACAGGAATCAATTGCTGGCATTTTTACGCGAATTAAAAAAAAAACGTTGCTCTACGACCTCCTGCAGCCGAAATATTTTTTTATTAAAAAAAAATCCACAGGCCGCTATTTAAGTGCTACAGCGATTTTTACAGAGATTGAAGCTGAAGACTTATATTTTCAATAAAAAAATACTGTGGTTCATTTTAGATACTTCTGCATTTTTAATTGTGCGTCAAACCGAAGCATTCGAGCGCGGCCCGAGCTAACCGTAGCGGGCGGCGGAGTGGGGGTAACGCTACTCGGCTGCTCCGAAAACTGAATTCGTGCGTTCAAAAGGGATCTTACTTTCAAAATCTTCATTATCACTTCTGGACCACGTATAAAAATCATTTTGTACTTAATCTGGAGTAGCTCGACGAGATAAACCAAAATATGACGTTTACGACGACCTCAAAAGCATACCTTTGAAACATGTAATTTGCGTTTAGTCTAAAATTCTCTCACCTCTTGTTAACATTTCAATAGTTATTTATGAAATAAAGTAAATACAACGTTTTATGGAAATTATATCTTTTGATTATAAAAGTATTACAAAATATTTATTTAATTATCGTACAGAAAATTACGTGGTATAAAAATGTTCGTCGATTGCGTTTTTTATTTTCACAGCTTATGTTAGTATATCACTTTTATGTTTCAATTCTTCTTCTCTTCAATTCCCTCGATTGTGATTCATTTTCTTCTTCTTCCATGGTTTCGTTTGATATATTTTCTACGCTATCAACTTCATTTTCCACATAATTCGTAGCATCAATGCGTCAAATGAATCATTGTCTAATTGGATGTTCGGAGTTTAAAATTTTCACATTGGGATGCATCACATTGTAAACAAACACTTGCACATTTAAATTTTTTTTTTCAACTACAGATTTTATTTTTGCAACCGCTGACGAAGCTACATGATATTTTTTTTCAAAGGTAATTATGTTTTTGAAGCTGTCGTAAACGTCATATTTTGTTTTATCTCGTCGAGCTACCCTAAATTAATTACAAAAGAATTTTTGTACGTGGTCTAGAAGTCGAGATAATGAAGATTTTGAAAGTAAGAGCGCTTTTGAAGGCGCGAATTCAGGTTCTGGAGCAGCCGAGTAGCGTTACCCCCACTCCGCCGCCCGCTACAGTTAGCTCGCGCCGCGCTCGAATACTTCGGTTTGACGCACAATTAAAAATGCAGAAGTGGCTAAAATGAGCCTCAGTATTTTTTTATTGAAAACATAAGTCTTTAACTTCAATCTCTGTAAGAATGGACGTTGTAGCATTTAAATAGTGGCCTTTGGAATTTTTTGAAAAAAAAAAATTATCTCGGGTCCAGAAGGTCGCAGAGCAACGTTTTTTTTCTAAATTCGTGTAAAAATCGATTCCTGTAATAGACATTATCGAAAAATAAAAAAGATATTCAAGAAAAACGCGACCAAAAAATTTTCACTGTTTTTAAAATCATCTTTGGACACTTGAAATGAATAAAATCGTTCACTCTTTTTTACCATGAAAGTACAACTCGTAAGAAAAAAAATGAGCCGTGATTCGTTTCTCTACGACTATTCGTCGAGCAAGAAGAGCTAATCTTCGAGATGACCTTTTTTTCGAAAAATCCTTATAACTCAAAAAATTTTTAATATTTTTTAATTTTAAAAAAGGTACTTTTTTTGCTTGCCGAGGGCTACATTTACAGCGAGTAACAAGCTTCAAAATTTTAATTTGCTAGAGATACAGCAAAAACAAAAAAAAGTTGATTTTTGACGGTTTTTTCGATATATCTCGAAAAGTAATATAGCAATGTTTAAAAATACGGATCGATTGTTTTTTTTAATAGCTACAACTTTCTCATTTAACTTTTTTCGATTGGAGTTTTTTTTTATTAGCGAAAAACCGTTTTTTTTACTTTTATGAATTTTTTAGGTTAACTTCGCTGTTTATGCGCCACATGAAAAATACTATTTCACCATATTTTTTGTTTCCAGGTTGTATTTTTTGTAAGCTCTTCTACCTATTGATTGGACTATTATGTTTTTGTTACATTTCAATTTCTGAGGCGACAGCAAAACTGTACTTTGGCTAACTTCTATGTTGATTCCTAGGAACTACAGTCGGCTACATTAAAACTTGGCTATTGAAAAACTATTGTGTATCACCCGCAGATGAAGAGCGTACATGCATGCCAAAGTATAGGTTGATGTTTCCCTTCATGTGGGGAAATACGTTCATGGGAAGGGCAGCAAGAATGGCGGCAGACCAGGCAAAACCCGTCTTACTTAACAGCTTCAAGGGACATTTCATGCCTGTTTCAGGACTGACTTATATCGATGAGTGCCAAATTCTTTTAAGGTATTTGTTGTAACTGTCTATTTTTCCGTTACACCTAAAGTAAAATACACTGTGTCCCAAAATAATGGAAAAAAATTCATATTTTTTTTCCATTTCATATTTTAAAAAATCGCTGAAACAGGTCAATTAGTAAATAAAAACTGTAACTTTTCTGCAATATTTTCCATTTTTTTGAGCTTTGTTTGTCAGAACTATAACATTACCGACATTTTTTTAAATAGGATGCTTTATATTTTATATAAATATATAGCTCCTCTAAAGACGAATTCAGCGGTATAAGGTTATACTATACCTACTTTTTTGGCATAGTTATCAAAAAAATGTAAAATATTGTCTTTTAAGTCGTACTGACGACTATTCCAAACAATCACAGTTTCTTCTTTAAAAAACGTACCTACTCTTTATTAATCTTTTTCTACTTACTTTAAACAATAAAAAAACACATCCATAAACACACTATTCGTGGGTATAACCAAATAACTTTCCACTAATTCTCCTTTAATGCCCTTTATTCAGAAACAGCAATAACGCTTAAAGCGTGCGGACGAAATTTAAAATTGATATTGAATTTGAAAGAAGTAAAGTATCTAAAAAGATTGAAGAAACTGGAAGTTTAAAAAATTTACCTGGATCAGGAAGGCGAAGAATGGTAAACGAAAATGACCGTCAAAATGTGATGCTCCCTGTTACTGAAAATCCTCTCTCATCCATTAGATCTACCTTAGCCAACTTCAACTTGTCGTAGTCCTCAGTTCACAGAACTCTGAACTCTCAAAAGTGACATCCTTACAAAGTTAACGTCTTACAAGAACTATGGGCAGTTGACACATACAGAAGATTACAGTTTTTCAAGGAAATTAGAAATTTATTTGAAAGACAACCCAAAATCACATAATTTTCACTGACGAAGCAAGTTTTTGCTTAAACGGAACCGAAACAGGCAAAATACTACGTTTTGGATCCCAGAAAATCCGCATTGTATGCAAGAAAAACATGCACAACGGCCGGAGAAAGTAAATGTTTGGGCTGGAATAGTAGAAAATCGCATACTGGGACCTTATTTTATTGAGGGCAATTTGACAGGCGACATTCATTTGGATTTTTTGCGTTTTCGGCTGATTCCGATATGCCTGCTGGTGATGTCTGGTCCCAACCATATGCTGCCCCTCCACATTTATGCCCTGATGTAAGAAATTACCTTAATGAAGTTTTCCCAAATCGATGGGTAGGCAGCTGAGGGCCGCTTGAATGGCAACCACGCTCCGCTGACTTAGCCCCACTAGATTTTTTTTGTGGGGTTATCTAAAAAACAAAGTATATGTGAATAGACCAGACACTACCTATCGAAGGATTGAAACATAGCACCAAATGTTATTCAAAATCAAATTGATAACTTTGAACACCATATTGGGCATAGTGCAATGGTTAATGGGGTCCATTTGAACATTTACTGTAATAAAATAAAAAGTGGCACTAAATTATTGTTTTCATTTAATTCCTCTATTTTTGGCAACTATGACAAAAAATTAGGTACTTACAATCTTATACCGCTGTATGTATTCGTCTTTAAAAGACGCTCTATATACTATAAAATATAGAGCGTCTTGTTTAAAAAAATGTCGGTAATGTTATAGGTCTGTCAAACATGGCTAAAAAAAAATAGAAAATATTTCAGAAAAGTGTCAATTTCTATTTACTAATTGACCTGTTTCAGCGATTTTTTAAAATTTCAACTGGAAAAAAAATATGAATTTTGTTCCATCATTTTGGGACACAGTGTATTTATGGGTCCTTTCCCACCAAACCAGTTAAATCTAGCTGTATCTAATACTAATGCGAAATTAATTTTTATAGAACATTTTTTATCCTGATTTCAATGTTTTTTTTTTTGGTTTCTGTATTTGTTAATATTAATGAATGAATATTAAATAACCTACTAACATCGGCAGAAAATAAACACTTCAAACTTCATGAAATTAACTATTTTACAAATCAAAAATATATTGGGATTAAAACACGGGTTTCATGTTTTACAAAAATATATAGAGTGTACCAAAACACCAAGTAGATATTTTAAAAGTATGTTGCTAAGGCGGATTTGTGGAGAAAACTTCATATAAACATGTGGTCCAAAAATGATTATTTTTCAATATATAGATTGTTCAATATTGTACTCTGATGATGGTTTTCTTTTAACATTTTGAAAATGAAAAGAACACCAGAAATTGAAGAAGCTATTTTAAACGAAATTGCAGAGGAACCTAAAACAAGCGTTATGAAAATTGCCTCAAACCTGAATGTTCCTTATTATATTCCTCCTTCCTAAATCTTTATGCCATTACTGAAACAGCAGTTTTTAGTAGGTAGTTGTATGGTTGGCTATCATAGACGATATCTCATAAGACCAATCTTTCTTCTCTTTAGACTAGATGGATGTTTCTGTGGCAACTTTTAGAAGCTGAGCTACTTATTTTGCTCGAGGATGTACTTCTATTCTCTATGACCAGATATGATCGATGCACTATGATGCCCCAACACACTTCAGTGGATTGGATTAATTGGATTAATATCTGAATCTGAATATTCTGATTAGTAATTTAAACGAATACATTATCAACAGTTTCAAATTGCCAAATGCAGAGCATCTTAAAAAATTGTTTTACTTAAAATTTAGTGCCACGACATTAAAATCAGTTTTTGTGCACAACACTTTGAAATTTCAAATTTTTAGTCAAATTTTGAGGATTTTTTGTCATTATTTCTAATTTTACATTACAATGTTAATGTAATCTATTTAGACGTCGTGAACGCTTTTGATAGAAAAAACTAGATCATCTTGGAATTCGTGGCCAACTACTTACTTGGACTGGTAACATTTATCGGTATTTTTTGAGTTCGTGTAGGTTCTGATTATTCTTCTCTCCATGACGTCTACTCGGATATGTCTCCAGGGTCCTTCACTCAACTGATCTTGATGATATCATTCTTTTTATGCTGATGATACTAAAATGTATGGCAACCCCCTAGATCAATATGACTGTAATAAGAGTAATCTTAATGATATCGAACGCTGGTATAGTAGTACCTGGTGTCTATCCCTTAACACCGCGAATTGTACAGTACTCCACATAAGAAATAACAATCCTCATCGTTCTTATGAGCTTGATGGGCACCTCTTTAAGGTCTGTGGATGGTACCTCTGCTCTGGTGGTGGTGGTGGTACCTCTTAAGTCTTAAGGTCTGTGAATGTGGTCTGTGATACACATTTATACAGTCCCAACAAGGTGTACTTGATTTGGAAGAGACTGAAATTGTTCTGCTAACGTGTGAATCTGATTTGCATAATAACTGAATTTTTAAAACATCGTTTTACATTTTCAGTTCGTTTTATTTTCGTTTTTTTAGTTGAGAAATATTTTGTCCGAAATTGTACCTACCACTAAAATTTGATTAATTTTTGCTCCACAAAATGTACTTATGTTTTTATCATCTGAGAAAATTTTCTTATTTTTAGTTGCAGTGCAGATTTTAGCGTAAGAATGTGGACGTTGGGAGGTCGATATTTACAGACCATTGGTACGTTCAAGCCTTGGAAGAATATTCGACAAGGGCAACCAGTTCCACCCACTTTTCAATTTAGTATTCCTCCAGATATAAAGAAAGTCGCTAGTTCTACCACCTTGAGGGTAACATATAAATATACTATACAGTGTATTTCAGAAATAAGTACGTTTCGTAAAAACTATGGTTTGAAGAGTCCTATTTTCGAAAAAGAAAAACTAATTAATAGCTATTTATGATATACGTGTTAAAAGTAAGATTTTATTTTGTGAGTGAAGATGATTAAAAAACGAGCGTAGCGAGTTTTTTAACTTCACGAACAAAATAAAATCACTTTTAACACGTATATCATACACTATTTTTTCTACAAAACAATCGGAAGAACTTTAAACTCAATAAAAATAAGAAATCAAAAAATACCACACAGATCGCAGTGTTTATGATTTAAATAAACTTTGATTTACTTTTAACACTAGTGTTAAATGACATTTTTAACATCAAAAATGACAATTAAAAAGCCCACTTTTAACAGTTTTGTAGAAAAAAGTTTTTATTCCAAAAGTCTCATTTTGTTACAAGTGTAAGATGGACCTTAATGTCCTTAATATACAGGGTGTTTCAGTTCGAGTGAATCAAACTTTAAGTACAAATAGAACGCAATAAATAATTCAGAATTGCCTTATAAACCATTGGCCTATGTCCCACCATTTTCATTGTACAGGGCCGTATTGGTCGGTTGATAAAATCATATTATTTACGAAATCTTTGGTATGCTTATAACAAATTGATTTAAATTTGGTGTGGTGTTAACATTTACACATGTACATAATTTACTGTAAAATTTACAAATTTGAATAGGTCAGTGGCGTCGGAATGGGTAGTAAAGTGTGATTTTCTTACCCCAACTTCTACGCCGATGACCTAATAATCATTTGGGATTTACTTTTAGATAAAGGTATACTTGTTGCTAAACTCTGCTCGAGTGTTTAGACCGTCAAAAATCGTATCAGGGATGGCTTCAAAATTTTTGTTACTTTTGTTTAGACAATTTTTTTCTTTTATTTCGAAATTTAGCGATTTGTCTAATGAAAACTATGCACTTTTATATCCCCCTTAATTTTTTACGAAGGGTACTTATTTCTGAATATAATACTTTCATATTAAGTGTACTTGTTCACAAAAAAGCAAAGTTCAATAAAATTTATTTCATCAGGTACTTTCTGGTGGTTCTTTCGAGAAAAAACTTACTATAAAACAATTACAAAAACGAGCTGAGAATAGTTTGGTACAAGTCGATCAAACGAAGATTTATGGAAAGCCGCTCGAAGACCCGCTTTTAGGGAATTATTACACACTTCCAGAGAGAACAGTAAATCCGAAGGACGTGATATTTGATATGTCATTCCCTTATGTAAGTAAATCGCTTCAGTTAAATATATATCATATTTTCAGGATGATTTGTTAAAAATGTTATTTGTATTGGTGTTTTCAAAATATATTCCTTTTAATTTTTAGATTCCTGTTTATCAGCACTTAATTATGCCAGGACTTGTGCCTATTGAAATTTCAGACGATATTTGTCGTAAACATAAATTGCAAGGAAGCAGTGAAGACAAGTCATAAAATTGTGAACGTGTTTTATGTCGGAAATATATCTTTATAGAATATATTTGGGTGCAATTATTAAATTGCGATTTTAAGGCTCTCAGGGCCCGTGCTATTATTTAAAGTAGGTATGGCTTTTCGAGTTGTTATCCCGTTGCCTATGTGCGCCCCCACTGAACCTATAATGGAGTAAAATCAGTGTCGAAATATTAATTTGAGTGACCCTGAAGTATAACCAGATGAAACTTATACCATCTTGTAGAGTATGTTTTTAGCTATAAGAAGTGGGAGATTACAACTTTTTTAGTAAGACCGAACTTTTAAAATGGCCCATAAGAATGGCCGAGGTGTCATTCGAAAATTCGTGCGTTTCCAAACATGCAGCAGAGCATTATTTACGGAATGAAATAAGTTATCGATTCGATTTTTTAGACAATTGTAGTATAAACTTGAGCGGTTCTTATGGTGTATTTGGAATTTTAAAAAAGTCAACAAATTTTTCACAAATTGAGCGTGAAGTTAGAAATAACAAATTCTTGCATCTAAAACTTCAAGATGCGGGAATGGAAGGTAGGTACGTGAAATATTAAAAAAGTCACCATATATGCAGTGAATGGTAGCCTAATGTTTGCAGAAGTTTTTGAAAAAAAACTGAGGTCGCTATCTTTAACGGCTGTTGAGTTATCGAATTTTTAAAGAGCGCTTGATTTTGGTGGAACAACGTAGCGTAGCGCTATTTCATTTGAGTACACTGCTCTTATGGAATAATGTAAAATTCATTATACATTTTTGACAAGTAAATCAAAATAATTTCTGCCCGAAGTGCTTAAATGGTAAATAACTAAATAATTGTTACTAAATCAGTTAACTATGGTTGGTTATTTTTACGCAAAAAAAAAAGAGATCATAAATATTTGAACTTTTTTTAAGTAATAGTTTAGGTAATAATTATTAATTTTTTTTAAATCTAAAAATCTAGTGTAACATTTTCAGAATATTTGTATATGAATTTTATAATTTTCAGTATAACTTTTAATTTATAACAATTTTTATATGTCTGTCTAAAGATTTTTTTTCTTATGAATGAAAATAATTACCTTTAATGTAAATAATAAGTGATCGTTAATAATCTGAAAGATTTAATTTTTTCTTGTTACTGGTTTCAAAAACCTAACTATTCTTCAGCACACATATATTATAAATTTTTTATAAATTAAAAGTTATAATGAAAATTATAAAATTCATATACCTACAAATATTTTGAAAATGTTAAACTAGGTTTTTAGATTTTTTAAAATTTTAATAAGGTCTTTCAAGAGCAAGATTGTCCGATACCATAGGGCGCAATAACTGAGGAAACAGAGCCGGTGAGATAATTTTTCAACTTTTCAAGGGGTGTTCGTGTGAAAACCTACCAGGTCGTGAGAAACAAGAGAGTTCACCCGTTGAATAGTCGTGAGGGGTGAGGAAACTTACGGTTGAAAAAGCACTCTGATTCGTGAAAGGCGAGGAGATTTACAGTTGAAACAGTACTCCGATTTCGGAAAGGCGAGGGGACTTACGGTTGAAAAAGTACTCTGAACTATGAGAGACGAGGGGACTCGTCTCAAAAGTAGTTATCCCGAATCACACCCCACTTGACTTTGTATAAAAATTGCCATTCCAACCCTCATAAGAGCGTGTATGTGGGTGGCAAAGGTTGTTGAGGGTTGACGAGAGGGTTGGAATCATTTTCGGTAGCCTTGTTTGTTTTTAGCAGCCTGGGAAACGTAGGCATACACAACCCACTCAACTTTGTATGAAAATTGACACTTCAACCCCATAAAGGGGTGTATAGGGTGGTAAAGTGACGCTAGGGGGTAACGAGGATTTTTGGTAGTCTTTTTCGTTCTTAGTGGCCCAGAAAACACAGGAATACTCACCCTACTCGACTTTTGTATGAGAATTGACATTTCAACTCCCAGAAGGGGGTGTATGGGGGTGGTAAAGTGACACTTGGGGGTAACGAGGGGGTCTAATTCATTTTTGGTAGTCTTCTTCGTTCTTAGTGGCCCAGAAACATAGGAATACACACCCTACTCGACTTTGTATGAGAATTGACATTTCTACTCCCACAATGGGCTGTATGGGGGTGGTAACAGGGAAATGGCTAGTTAAAATTTTTTTTTATGGTCATATTCGGTTTCACCGACCTCAAAAACATAGGGCTCTGGGTCTTGACATTTTTTCATGTGCCTGTGTTATCATACACAAATTGAAATTATAATATAAATTACAATTCTAAGCAACTTTCCTTATTTATGTATTGTTAAAAACATAGACAATTTATACTTTAACGATTTTTATATTTGTAGTACCTGTTTCAAAAATTTAAAATTCCGCGCTATTTACTTAGTTCGAACAAGAAGAAGAGGAGATCTGGGGAAAGGTGTTCAGTGTTCTTAGGTTATGGTTAGAGAGAAAAGAGGTTATGTTATGTGGGTTAAGAAGCGTTGTCTATTGTTTAAGCTTTTATGGAAGAACAAAGATTTAGAGAAAAATATTGTGTGTTCCTGAAACAGCCTTCCAGTACAATGTCTTTTTCTGGTAAAATGAAAAATAAAAATATTTTCCCTCTTCTCCATTCTAACCGTGGACATGTTGTACTATAATACCTATAAATGATTTTACATAACGTGCATGAAACATAATAGGTATTTTTAAGTTACATATCAAAAATATTTTGTGAAAAATATTATAAGAATTTTGTTAGTTGCAAAACATTAAAGTCATTACAGGCTGTAGAAAACATAGCCCTCCGCACGGCCACCAACGCGCCCTGGTACGTAAACTTTGACATATTACGAGACTTACAATACACAAACGCTACACAGACAATAAGACAAAACGCGGAGAGACATGACAATCCCCTCCTCAGGCAGGCCGTTGACTACGTACCCGATGTGACCGACAAACACAAAAGACCTAGACACCAACTTTTTGACTCTGGGTGACCACCCCAACGACATCCCCCCCCCCTGCCCGCTAACCTTTTCTGTTTCAGAGACCGCCAGGATCAAGAAACGAAGACAACGACACACACACACACACACACACATACACACCCCCCATACCCTCCTTACCCCTCCCCTCCCGCGCTAGCCTAGCTAGCCTAAGGGCCACCTTAGCAAAGCTCTCCCCAGGCTGCATAGCCGCACTATCTTACCCGACCATAAACATGACACCACCCCCGGGGTTTACACAGACGAGCCGGCGAAGCAAGAAGAGCGCCAGAAGAAAGGGCCCAGCAGGCGGGGCCCAGCCAGGACAAAAGGAGGTCCCACAAAGCGCCTACACCGGCCGCATTTGCGGTCGGGGTAGACGACGGATGGGGCCTACCTATGAAGGCTGTCCAGGCCTACACGAGATGAGGCAGGATAAAGAGGGATAATCCCCCTCGATCCCAAAATCCAAATCATTGAGGCCAATTTCTAGCCATGGAATAATGGCGAGTTGCAAAACATAACCTTGCATAATTATTTAGTTAAGTAATGTGGATGATTGGTAGGTGGCGCAGCCCATTCTTATTTGTTGCGTACTTTCGATGTACGGGATCGCATTCTTTTTTATTTTATACCTTTGGTCTACCATTCATCGAATTTACAGTTTCATAGAATACGAAATTCAGAACATTCCGAAATCATCGAATTGGGAATAATTGGGAAGGGAATTGCAAGAACGAGAAAGATAAGAGTTGTTATTTAATGTGATAATATTTGTGATTTTTATTTAATTTGTCTTTATGGCATTATAGATACATTTTAAACACTTTATTTTATCGAATCAGTGAAGTTTTATGTACAATATTTATTAGAATAGTGAACTAAATGATACTTAACTTACTTAACCTATATTGTTTATAAGTATAATGTAATATATTTTCCAACAATTTTCCAGAACTAATAAAATGTTAGCTAATACACAATTATTATCAGCAAATAATGAAAAAGAAGATTTGACTACTTTTGTAGCCATACCTGTTGATTCTTTGAAAAATCCTACTGAATACGACAATTTACGAGTGATCCAAAACATTGTTATTAAGCAGTTACCAGATGGGACAATATGCCTTGCAGAAGCAATTGAGGTAATATTTTGAAATATTTAGTGTATTTATGGTCTTTCATTATTACTTAACCTGTAGGAAAAGCAGAATTTTACTCAAGAACCGTACCAGTTGACTGAAGCTGTTCCTTTAAAACTAATCAATGATACAACAGAAAAACCACATGTCAGGTATTTTTTTCTACTCTTAGTGAAGGAATATATAACATCTGAATAATTTAATTTTAGAAATCGAACGATTTTGCTACATCCTCCACGAAAACATGTTCAAGAAAAACAACCACTGAAAAAAATAGAGCCGAAACCTGCAAATCACCCCTATTTATGTATAAAGTGTGATAATTCTTTTGAAACAGTTACACAGTATCATAATCATATAAAATGGCACAAATGTCAGAAAAAATTTAAGTGTGAGAAGTGTTCTTCTGGTTATAACGTGGAAAATAACCTAAAAATTCACATGGTTCTAATGCATTCTGAAGAACGTAATATGCAGTGTCCTGTTTGTCATGTCAGTCTAACATTTCAAAGAGCTGCTAGTTTGAGGTCGCACTTAATGCTGCACCATGTAGAGGAATTTTATACCTGTGATGAATGCGATGGAGAATTCGACAAAGAAGCAAGTCAAACGTTTTGATATAAATACATTACCTAATTTAATGTTATTATTTTCAGGCTGATTTTCTTAAACATATTGAAACACACAATTCAAAGAAAAAAGGTAATTCTAAACCACTGACATGCACCTACTGCAAATTAGAATTTAAAGAATCTAAGGAATATAGGACACATGTTGCTGACCATGTCAAGCTACGAAAAACGTTCATGAGGAACAGACGGCCAAGAAAACCAGGGGGTAGAAAGGAGGAGTCCAACCATGTGTGCCTTATATGTAATAAGAGTTTTATCAAGAATTCTCTGCTTGAAAGACATTTAAGGATTCACAGTGGAGAGAAACCTTTTAAGGTAAAAATGAATACCATAATATCAGAAAAACAAATTAAATTCAAATAAAATTATTATTATTAGTTATTTTATGTGATTTATGAGGATATATCCACAGATAAGACAATTATTATAGACTATATACCAGGTAGGTGGGGAGCCGCTAGAGCGATTGTGACAACCTAAATTTTTAGGATGAACTACTACTACTACACTATAATTTTACATGTCATTATGATGTCGTGTTAGAATACATGCTTCTCTTTGAATTTTGTGTTGGTTCTTTACTCATAAGAAATTAAAACACATTCGCTATTTCTTCCGGTTTGAAATGTTTTATCGCTGTATCAGGTGACCAGTAATTTTGTTTGGAAAGCAATTTTATTTCTTTCATGTTGGCAGTTAAATTTTGGTAAAATTAAAACAGAAAAACTGAACATTCTGTTTCACGGGCTAGTGATTGGTGTAATTTATCAAGAGATTTTATTCAACCAACCAGCGATCGCATTATCTCGAGTGTAGACATAACAGTTATTGTTCATTGTAAACGAGTCGTTAATATTAGTGACATTAAGATTTAGGAGTTTTTAGTTGACAGTACCAGTCAGCTATGCCATGTTGGGTTGCCTAAGTTCGGCGATCACGTGGCTTGTAATCATTTATGAAGGCTCTGTAGATTTCATGTTATGTCAAATCCTGGTAGTTGTATATAATTACGGTGACCATATCTTTTCTCAGGAAAAAAAAGTACAAAATTTAGAGAAATAAAACATAAATGCAAAAATATTTTATAAACGCAAAATATATATCACAATAAACAATATGCGGCGAGGAGACTGATTTCGTTTTCATAAAAGGGTAATCCTTTTGTAGTTCTGCATTAAAATTACATTTTCGTTGAGGCGGAGACATTATTAGAAAACTCTATTAAAAACGCACTAAATAATACACTAACTGCAGTAATACTTCATAATTTTAAAGCGAACTAAGCGATTTGCACGGAGTGTAATATGAATAGACAGAGATGCTTACTATCAATATTAGTATAGTCGGCAGCTCTATCTATCGTTTGCAATTAGATAGAAATAAAAGTATTGGGTACGGTCGAATGTTATATCATATTATCTGAATGCACTATTTCATATTATCTGAACGCACAGTGGGTCAATATTCAAGTAAAGGTGCCAAAAGAAATTAACTGAGAACAATATATCAAGATATTTGATTAAAAACAGTTAAAAAATAAAAAGCTTTCTCCTTTTTTTTTTTAAAGAAGTACATTCGCATGTCCTTAGAAAAGTTTTAAAGTACATTAGCACATTATTTAAAAGTAATTTAAGTCAGTCTGCACAGCGTGCTGCATCTACTTCTGCTACAACTGCTACTACCGCTCTTACTACTGCTGTGAGAGAATTCTAAAAATTTATTAAATTACAAATAAAAAATTAATTAAAATTTTAACTTCACCATCCTTTATCTCTTTAAATATCATCATTTTTTTGAATCATTACTATTTACAATTCGGAGTTGTATAGCTTGTCAGTCGTAATGTGACAAACATTTTAAAAGATGCTGGCCACGAGAAAAAATATCAGGAGCGAGAAAACTTTTGGTGAACAGATAATCATATTTGCTGTGCCTGTGTATTATGGGCAAAATTATTTCTCATTACGTATGCGGCACCTTTATAGAACTGCTTATTTTTATTTTAGTGCCAGTTTTGTGATCGAAGCTTTACCCAAAAAGGAACTTTACAAATTCATCTAAGCAGGCACACAGGTGTTAAGCCTTACGCTTGCACGTTGTGCCCTGCCAGATTCAATCAGAAAGGTGAGAAATTATTTTTTTTAATATGCATTGCATTGAAAAATAAATTTTTTAGGGAATTTGCAGGTGCACGTGAAAAAAACCCATACGTTTCCGGCAGAAAAGGACCAGAAAATGTACAAGTGCTCGCAATGCTCTTGTATATTCAAGAAAATCGCTACTCTAAATGGTCACGTAACGAAAGCTCATCTAAATACTAGGGATACTTCCAAATTAGACGATAGCCTTATCGAGGATGTCTTGTCTAAATTGAAAGAACTCGAACGGCAGACTTCTGGGAATCCCCAGGACAGATGTACCGAAAAGAACAAAGAAAATGAACCAAAGGAACATATTGTGATTGAAAACAAACCTGTGGAAGTGCCTGAATTTGAAAAGAAGAATTTCATTAATTTGACAGAGTCAACTAACGATGGTACTGTAAAGAAGTATTTAGTGAGACAGAAAAAGGTTGGCGATGTTCGGTGGTATTTTTGTAATTACTGTTCGAAGCAATTCAAGAAGCCCTCGGATCTGATCAGGCATATGAGGGTGCATACAAAGGAAAAACCGTTTAAGGTGAGGCAAATTTTGAATTTTTTAAATCTCTTACACTTTTTAAGGGGGATAACCAGAATTTTTTTGACCAGGAAAATTAAGAAATATGGGGATCAGGTTTTTTTTTTACTTTTTTAAGTGTATATTCGACTTAGTTCATGTAAATTTTTATTAAAAAATATTGAGTTGTTACAAAGTTAAGAGCCTTGCCGTAAAGCCTTAAAAAAATCCCCCTCCATAGTCGCATCGATTTTCCACAAACGGATTATCTGAAAAAAGAAATCAAATTGCATTAGAATCTATATGAATGTAGTTATCGTTGTGTGTAGCTATTTTTTTTATTTTGATTTTTTACAAAATGGCGAGCGATTGAAAATTTTTTCACCTTTTTTTCCCCTTTTTTTGCTTTTAGGCGTTCTTAAAAAAATCGTAATAATCAAAATTTTCAAAATTGGCTAGGATTAACCTTAGCCATTGCAAAGACCAATAAAACAAAAAAAAAATAATTGTAAATCGATTGATAATAATTAATCGAGTTATCGATGCGACCAGTTTGAAAAAAGTCGTTTTGAGAAAAACGCTTTTAAAGTTTTCGAACCATTTTTCTTACTATAAAATCATTTATCTACTAACATATTTATACTTACATCAAACTATCGAGTCCTGGGCCATATGATGGTTCTTTTTCTACATCTCCAGTGATGTCCTTGGCATTGTTTTTTATTTTATTGTCCTTTTGCGCAAGATTCGTCATCTATCCCTAGCAAAGCAATAAAAAAAATTTTTTTGACCCATCACAGTTGGTATCCCCCTTGAAGTTCTGTATGTAATATGAAAGTGCTAAATCTTTTCTCTGTCAGTGCCATCAATGCAGTTCAGAATTCACGTTAAAATCAACTCTGCTATCTCATATCAAGACCCACACCAACAAAATGAATTACACCTGTAAAGTATGCGACTCTCCTTTTATATCTTTGAGGGTACTAAATGCGCATCTCAGGTAAGTTTCAAAAAATTTTTATTATTTGTTTCATGTTTTTCTTACCAAGATGTGATCTACTAACTCTTAAGTGATTCTGGTTTATTATATTTTATCATTTCTTTTACTTATCCCCATTTATTCCTTCTTATCCTCATTTATTCAAATTTGTTTCCCAATTATTCTTATTCATTCCAAAATTTTTTTTTTTAAATCGCATAAATAGTCATTATAATTTGTTTTTGAGACTGTAACTCTTGTCTGTGTCGCCACTGGACAGATTTCAACCTCGGTTGCATATGTGCGCTTATTAATGTTGCCTGTTGTTACCATTTTTAACTGTATTGGAGAATAATTTTGTAAAAATAGATTGCTTTTGTATGACTTTGCAACTTGTTATTTTAAAGTTACCTACCATATTATTTTCTGCTGCACAAAACATAAACGAAGTGTTTTTAAAAAATTATATATTTTTTTCATGTTTTACTAAATATTAACTAAGTGTATATTAAATAAAAATACTTATTAATCTAATAGATTAGAAACATTTTTTTAAATTATTTCAGTTTTTTAATAAAATGTGTTTGCCACTATTTTTTAAAAGTAATGTGTTTAGTTTGTGAATCTCAGTGTCAACGACATAATATACATTCACCTGATGGGATATGACAAGAGAGCACTAGACAAGGAGGAAACAAAATTTTGGTAAATGATATTTGAGAAAATAAAATTTTTAAATGAGTTTCCAAAGGTCCTCCATATAAATATAATCCCCATTCAAAATTGCACTGTATACCTATATTTTGAGATTTTATGGAATATTTTTCAGCTATTTCATTATAATTCGACCCATTGTATTCCCTATATACCGATGTAAAAATATTTTATCGTATTCTGTCTATATTCCGTCTTATACCTGTATATTCTAGTTTATTCTGTTATGTGTATTCCCACCCGATTTCGTTCAAAACATACATTGATTTTGGTTACTACTCTCAATTCTTAGCCTTTATGATCAATTGTTTGGTTCTTAGGAAGCACGATTTCGAATCTCTACCAAAGTGGCAATGTATAACTTGCGGTTTCCTGTTTGATGAGCTAGAGCAGGGAATTAAACACAGAGACAAGATGGGAAGGGAAAAACCACACGTCGTCCAGCCTTTTATTAATCACATTTTGAAACAACCTTTATACCAAACCACATACGGTCAGTGCAGCATATTTTTAAACTTTCTAAATTCTTTTTATTAAAATTGCAATGTTTATAGGTTCCTTAGTATTTAAACCTCCGAAAACGAGATTTCCTAACACAGGATCCGAATCGCCCACCCTCCGACCTTTTCACTGCACAATATGCGATTCTAGATTTACGAGAAGAATCAATCTTAAAAGACACATCCAGTTTCATAACGGGGACAGAAATTTCAAATGTAATTTGTGTCCGAAGTAAGTGAAAAGTTATTTAAATTTTCGATAAAAATCTTCATAAAAAGTTAATTTTCAGGACTTTTATAACTTCCTATAGGCTGAAAGAGCACTTAAATTTTCACAACAATGTGAAGAACTACGCTTGCAAGCAGTGCGATAAGAAATTTGTCACTGCGACACTTCTGAAGAGGCATGTTATCATCCACAATAATCACAAGCCTTACCAGTGCCCTTACTGCACGAAAACCTTCAAGACGCTACTATTGTGCAGGACTCACATCATGAAAGTACATAAAAAGGAAGTGGTTAGCAAGGTTGGTAGAAACATTTTAAAAAATGATTTATTAGTTAAATCTTTTATAGACGGTATTATAAATAAAAATTGGTAAAGCCGTTAATCACAGACTGATTATGCAAAAATAATAGTAATTTATGCCTTTTTTTTTAACTTATACTTCAGGTCCAAAGTGGTAGACAGTCGTAAATAAATCAGATCACAATTTTTACCAATTTTTAATCTGGTAAAATAATTGTATTTGCATGGAATTTTTAATGTGTTTTTCATTTCACATTGTGTTCTGATATGTTCAGCCTGTGGAGCGCACTTTCGTAAAATTCGTATTTCTATCTTTGCTTATTGTGTACAAAAAGAGAGTCGAAAGAAGCTGTGTGGTGTAACTTCTTGAAGTCTCGCCCTGCATTTATTTTCCAGCTGACGTGTGTCAGTGAATGTCATAGGCATACAAGTATGAGAAATGTGTTGCTATTTTCACATTTTAGTCATTTCCATAAGTGTTGTGAAAAACGGACTCAATGTGGATATTAGTGTTCAATCTGATATCAGGGTAGCTGTAAACGATCGAATTTGAAAAAAGCTAAATTGCAAATTTAAAAATTAAAAAGAATTAATTTTAAAAATTTACTGTGGCCGTCCTAATCAACCGATTTCAATTTTTCAAAAACCATTTGAAGAGTTGAGCAGTCTTATATGTGAAAAAATTTTCAAGTATCTAGATGCTTTATTTGAGGCAGTGCAACATTTTGAAAATTCGAAAAAATTTTTTCAAAAATCCGCGTATGAGAGGCGCGCGCGCGGCACATAGCGCTTTATTAACAATTAAAAAACGAGGCTTTCGAATAATGCGAGTCCCAAAAACTCTTCATCAACTTGTAGGGGGATGTTTAAGCTCTAATTTAGGTACCTGGCAACATCAAAAATAACAATTTTTAACCCGGAAATCGGCCGTTGTAAATCGCAATTTTCACATTTTTAGCAACTTAAATTGTTTATAACTTTAAAACTATCAATTTTAGTGGCATAGTGCATAGGAACTTTTTTGTTTATTATGTGCCAAAATATCTAAAAAAAAAAATGTTTCTGGAGTGAAAAAGTCTATTTTTACAATTTATTTAAAAAAGTTGTTTAAACAAATGGGCACCAGATTTCCGGCCGGCATCATGTCGATTCATGTTAAGGAACATCTCACGAATCTGAATATGCCAAAAAAATCGAGTCGGAAAATTTCTTCCACGAATGCGAGGTTTTCGCTTTGTCTAGATGGATACATACTTTAGTATAAAAACAAAACCTTCCTATTGGATATTTTGATATACAAAGGTAGTTTTCATTTGTTGTTCGATATTTAATAATTTTTGAAACCCTCTAAAATGATACACTCATGGAACTGCATTTCCCACACACCTTACCAATTGCATGGTTTACTTGTTGAGAATGAATTATAGGCTATTATTTTGTACCTAGATTATAGACGCCTCTTTCTCAAGTTGCACTGCATTTAGACAAAACCATGTTGAAAACACAAAAAAAAAACAAAACACAAACACGTGCGTCCGGAAAAAACATAGGCGACTGGTTTACTGGCTAGGTGGCTAGGCTAGGCTTGTCTAGGAACGTACGTTCTCACAAATGCCATTACACAAGCCAATCCACTTCTTGAGTGGTGGGGGACGCTATTGGCTCCTAAAATTAGAAACCGTTCTAATTAGTGGAGTGGCTTGGGACAATGGCTGGAGACATTCCNCAATTGAAGTTTACACGTAGGCCAGTCCGTCATCCGCCAGGCTAGTATCTTTGTATAATCTATGTGGTCTAGTATATACGGTTGTGTAGAATGGATAGGCTAGGGCTAGGCTAGGCTTGGCTAGGAACGTACGTTCTCACAAATGCCATTACACAAGCCAATCCACTTCTTGAGTGGTGGGGGACGCTATTGGCTCCTAAAATTAGAAATCGTTCTAATTAGTGGAGTGGCTGGAGACATTCCATTTACAGGATTGTCTCTATTTACACGATGCCAATGTTGGATTGGTTTAGTGGAATGTCTTCACAACTGGCCTTGTATAAATGGGTCATTAGTCCGATTCTGGATCGCAAAGTAAATCTTAGAACGACGACTGTGGCTATTGCCATCTTTTCGACAGTATCCAAAGTATAGATAGATATGTTGAAATGCAAAGGATTCCTTTAATTTTCTGCGTGAAAACGTTATGGAGAATATGCGGGCATCAAAAAATGAACCTTTTTTGTTTTGTAATTTATAAATCTACTCAATAATTGCGGTTAATTCATGTGTAAATAGTATCCTAAAAGCATTCTGCTGGGTGTGACTATGTTTATACTACCGTATGCGATTTTCTGTATGTTCAACAGGCGTGTAAAGAAATGTAGGATAAACACGAGGTAAAAATATGCTTTTTTTTCTTTATTTAGAATGCATTGTAAGTTGTCTTACACCCTGAAGAAAACTCGTATAACTGCTACAGTCAATAGATATTGTTTCTAACTTGCTTAGATTTTTTTAAAAATTCATTGAAAATTGCACATAAAAGCACCTCCCTTAAGACTGAAAGGTATTGTTTTTTAGATTTAGAAATTCCTTAATTATTTTCAATTTTTGTAATATTTTTATGTACTGCATGGTTTACGAGTTATTGCAAGAGAAATTTTACCCCGGAATCCTGAGATTCCGAACTTTTTCAAGGATTCCATTAATCCTGGGAATACCAAGATAATCCTGAAATCAAATTATTTGCATTTTTCTTATTTATTCCAAACCAAAGGATAACAATCTCCAAACAGCTTTGCATGTGTATGTTACATGCAAACCTTTTTTTGTATGACCATTGACAAGTGAAATAACTGGTCATCAAATTCTAAGATTTAATAAAACCCAATACTAACAACTGGACTGCCTAGTTAAGCTTTGGGTATAATTTAGAAATGAGCTTTATTACAAATATATCAATAAATATGTAGTAATAATAAGTTATCTTACAATGCTAATAAAACTCTTAGAAGTTATGTAGAATCATACCCAAATTGGTACCACTTTGGAACATTTTTGCAGTATTTTGTAAAGCCAGTCCTAAATTAAAATCAAAACTCTTGATTTAATTGGATCAATAATGTTTATCTAAGATTTATTTAAAAAAAATGATAATTATTAATAAAAGTATTTTTAAATTGTAATTTTGACACTCTGTATATAGGAAAGAGGTGCTTACATGAAAAGTGACATAAATTTTAGTTAAATATTTTGTTGTTATAGCTGTTTTACATTGACAATTTATTGATGAATAAATTGACGAAGTTCTTCATGAATTAATTCACGAATTTATTGGTAAACAGTGTGGTTTTACATTGCTACAGACTTTATCAAGTTTTTTGATGCATGAATCAGTTCTACCAACAAATCAAAGAAGAAAATAAATTTCAAAAATGTCAACTTTCCACTCATAACTGTAGTGATATGATAGCGGTACCGAGTTGACACATATTATATAAATACTAGTGTTTGTAAGTAACAAATCAGTAAAAACAATGCAAAACTAGTACGGCGCCACACAATTATTTACATATTCCAATAACATAACCTCATTACTGATCTGAGGGTGGAAATTTGTTGGGTTGGTACTTCCGAACTTCACGAAGAAATTGACGAAAATTAGAACATGCTCTAATTCATCAAGAACTTGATGAATAAATTCATGAAGTTATTTGACAGCAGATTTGGTGTATTACACTTGTCTAATTTCTTGATGAAGTGACTTCATGAATTAATTGATCAATAAATTGTCAATGTAAAACAGCTATAAGTGGCGTACCCCACTTTTTTGTAAAACTTCATACGACAGTTATTTTTATATTATGATTGTATCGTTTCAGCTGAATTTAGAACCGGAAAATCTTCTGACAAGGACAGAATCTAATCCAGAACAGAAACAAAATATGACGATGGAAACATTGCCGATCACTTCAGAAAATGCACTGCAGGTAATGTTTACTATTTAACTTGGTTTGTTACAATTAGAACTAATTTTTTAATTAACATTAGAATTTGTCGCCCACTTCCAATAATGAAAACATCGTGATCGAACAGCTACTTCCGGAAGGGGAGAACTGCATCCAAATTATGAATTCAGATGGCGCCAGTGCAGATCTTAATAATTACCCTACCATCTATGTTAATATGAACGAGTTACAATTTCTCGATACTACAAATTTGAATTTGGGCAGTACAAATGAATCTCAGTTAAAGGTACAAATGCTGCTTATTAAACCATAATTTTTGCAACTGTACAATTTTTTTTAGAATAACGAAGCCTCACTTATAAATCAACAGGAAAATATGCAAGTAAACGACATTATTTTCAACATCGATCCAATGAAGCCCGGCTTAAGTTTACCTCCCGATGAAATTTTTGAGACGCCTCATCATGAAAATACCGAACACCAGGTCTCAGGCACCTTGCCAAGCATAGAGGAGATAACCACAAAACCCATAAAACTCAGCAGTTTCTCTGAAGAAAACACGAATGATAAATCAGGAAATTTAGGTTTGCTTTTGGGTAACAACACAAATTTATACACAAACGTCAGTTTGAACAATTATTTAAACTTACCGATAACTGTAGGAGAAGGAGGTGCAGTTTTTGACTCCACCAGCTCGAGTGCCGTGTTTCAGACGAGCGCCGTTGCTGATCTAAGCCGTGTGGATGATATCTACGAAACTACAAACATAATATGCATAAGTTGCAGCAGAATGTTTACGAGTCTGGACAGTTTTCAAGTGCATACCTGCATTTCGTTAAGTGAAGAGTCCGTCGATGTTGAAAACTGCCAGCAACCCAGCAAGGATCCCAAATGTGATGATAGAGTGGAGAATGAGAACCCGGAAGAGAGTCGGAAGGAGACATTGAAATGTGAAGTGTGCAATAAGATATTTTCTCACAAGTCTTCTTTCGACCGTCATTTAGGGACTCATTCCGTCAAGTCCAATATCGTGTGTAGCGTATGCAAGGCTGTGGTGAACGGGAGGACCCAATACATCAAACACTTAGCGACGCATAAGGGTCCGAAGGCTAGTTTGACGAGGAGCTGCAAGTTTTGCTTCAAGGAGTTTAAGAAACCCTCCGATTTGGTGAGCGTTTTTTACCAACAAATTCTTAATTTACAGGTATCCTTAAATTTAGAGCGACAATTTTAGGAGGTTGCTAAGTAAGTCAATAGGAGGGTTATCTTTTATATTTCTGTAACAGGGGACAAAAAAGAAATTAATCATCGGATATGGCTTTATTTTTTGTTTGAGTTTTCGAAGCAGTTTTTCCATTCTGATCAAGGAACATGCATTTTGAACATATGAACTGCTTCTTCAGGTCTCGAAAAACGTTGATCGTGTTGAATTTATTTTTGGTGTGCATGAATAAAAAAATTCATTGGGTGCCAACTCAGGGCTGTTCGGTGGATGATTCATCATTCGGTTTTTTCAGTTCTGAAAGTATCTTGTTTGAGCCGATGTGTTAGAGTTCGCATTGTCCTGGTTGAGAATGATGCGTCTTCGGCGGTTAGTTTCCCTTATTTTTCCGAAGACTACCGGCAAACAAATGGTTGTGTACCATTCAGAATTGACCCTCCGACATTGCGCTAATGGTACAGTTGCCACATGTCCGGTTTTTTCGAAAAAACAGCCGATTATTTGCTTAGAAGTGCTTTGTGTGTGAATAACTTTTGTTGGATTTGGCTCATTTTGAAAGACGCATACAGTCGACTGCTATTTACTTTGCAGGTCATACGCATAGATCCATGATTGAACCAAGGCTACGATTGAATTCTGTATACCATCCATATACAGTGATTTTGATGGTGCAAAAGCTGTAAAAAATAATCACACCGAAATGTTCACGGTTTATTTTAATTTTTTGGTCGAGATGAATTTTACAGGTCACTGTAAATAACACATATAGCACCTGTATATTAAAACGTTCTAAGTATATTGTTAGATCCATTCCTGAAATATAAAAGGCAACCCTCGTAATAGATCGAAACCTATACTCCGCGGTCGAAATTATAGAGTGACTCATCGCTGGCTTTTGGACTAGTAAGGAGGATGAAAATCCATTCGTAGCGAGTGGCACAAAGATAAATAATATTGAACCGTTATAAAAATCATTTTATATTTTATACACATTATGGTAATAGTGTTTTTATATTATGTCTGAGTCACACTCTATAATTTCGACCGCTGGGTATAAATATATTTTTTCTTAATCACTTGTGTTTCCGAGATAAGTGGTGCTAAAGTTTTCTTTCATTCTTTCTACTACAATAGGCTTGAAATGCTGATATTCTGATATTTGTACATAATTACAATCATCGGAATAAACACAGTTTTGTAGAAACGGGGGTTTCCCTAAGATTACTGTTACTTAAAACATTTGAAGTTAAATATTTGCATTTTGCAAGCCATTTTTCGATAACCCAGTTCAAATGCTATAAATGGCATCCTTCTTGAATTTTGATAAAATAATTTGGGAGACATTCGAGGTTAATCTTGTTAGATCAAATTGAATGAATAAATGAGAAATAAACATGCTACCAATTTTTTAGCTGAAAAAATACTCTAGATTACAATAGAGTAATATTTATTTAAAGCAAAAATAATTTTTAGTTGGTCAAAATGACTCTCACCAGACATAAATAGGCATTGAACCTCTCTCTTTCGCATTTTAATGGCTTCTATTATGAGGCATATCTACAAAGTAAGAGTACTCAATTTTTTAAAAATCAAAATGGCAGTATATTTTGAAAAAATTTACATATTTAGAAAAGAACGTCAAACATAATTTTTCCACGTAAAAAAAAATTTTTGCTGCCTCTAGGGCTCATCGTTGGTAGAAAACCTTTTTCCGCCGATAAACAACCTTCAGAGAAGATGAAAATCAAAAGATGCTGGGTCGTGGCTGTGAGCGGGGTGATTGATGATGTTCCAACCGAATTAATCCAAGAGTTGCTGTATGGTGTTGGCGATGTGGGGACGTGCATTGTCATTCAACAAGCACACTTACTTCGTTAACATTCCCCTTCTTATATTCTTTATCGCCCTGCGTAGTGTTTTTAGCATTTCGCAGTACTGCACAGGGTTTATTGTTTTCTCCTGAGACAAAAAATCAATGAGGAGAAACAGTTGCTATGATATTTCTGGCCAAAACAACGGTTTTGAATTTTTTCGCTGATGACGAAGGTGGATGTTGCCACTGCATTAACTGTCTTTTCGTCTTAGGGGTGTAGTGGACCATGTTTCATCACCAGTCGCGATACATTCAAGGAATTGTTCACCTTCCAGTTGGAGGCGCTCGAGAAATTCCCGTGAAGATGAGATTCTGTTGGCTTTGTGCTGATCCGTGAGCTGTATTGGTACCCACCTCGTACAAAGTTTTCGATAACCAAGTATTTCAGTAATGATTTGACCCAGAAGAAATCTGGCAATTTGTGGTAACACTGCGTTCATCTTGTCCAAAGTCAATCAACGCTCGCCAAAAGTATTTCTTCGATCACCATCTCATCAGTTCTGGCAGCTGTACACTCATGACAGCATTTGTACCATTGGTATGATTCATCACACCATCCCCATAAACAGTTTTGATTACATTAAAAATCTGGAACGGCACTTTTTCCTTTTAAGAAGAAACCGGATTACACTCCTCACCTCGTAGCTGGCGGGATTCGGAATAGCAGCACTCATTTCAACACCCCACTACAACAACAGTTCTCAACTGACTGAAACAACTTTATTGAAAACAAAAACCACAGAGCATCAGAGTTTCAATACTCTTACTTTGTGGATACGCCTCATAATTTCTCAAATTCATAGTTGCCCTGTGTTCTCGAACGTCCTCTATTCGTGGTTCCAAAATTTAATTAAATCTTCATAATTTTCATAAGTATGTTCTTAATATTGCATTAAATATTAATTAGGTCCTGTCGATAAATACTCAATTAGTTTTTATTTATAATGTTTTTGTTTTGTCAGAATCGACATCTTAGGACACATACAGGAGAAAAACCATTCGGTTGTCACCTTTGCGGAAAAACGTTCACTCTAAAGTCAACTCTGGAGTCTCATATAAAGACCCATGATCCCACACCTAAACAGTTCAGCTGTAATGTTTGTAACTCATTTTTCTCTTCCAAGTCCAGTCTCAAGGTTCACATGACTATACACACAGGTACTTTTGGAATTTATTAACATTCTTTAATAATACTTATATGTTGTTTCTTTTAGGTCAAAGGCCACACAATTGTTCATTTTGCGACCAGAAATTTAGGACTGTAGGTAACAGAAAATCTCATGAGGCACTCATGCATCTCTCAAAGTCGAAAAAAATTGGGCAAAGCAAGCAGACCAGTGTTAAAAACGTACTGGAGTCCGTAGCTTCTGGGATTGTTAACAATTTAAATGAAATCCAACCGAATCAGAACGATTCCATTCAAAATAATAAAACTGAAAATACATCAGACGTAAGTGAAATAAATAAGTTGATATTGTTTTCCATTTTTTAAACATCAAAATACCAGCAGTAAATGCATTTTCATTTCCTTTTTAGAAAATTGTCTCCGAGGAACTTCCTCCTCAACTGGAAAATACTTCTGTAACCACAGAAAACTTGCTATCCACTCTTCAAGATGACCAGATTCCAATCGACCCAGTCCTGCTCCTCCAACAGCTCCAAATGTCAGGTCTCATTCTTACCAATGAAAACAACGAGCCTGTTTCTACGTTACTATTAGACGACGGTACCATCCTCAACGTCGATGGGACAAAAGAAGACATACCCGAATTGTCGCTACAACCCGTTGAAGCGCAGGAGTCAGTGAACATCAGCAGTACCGCAATTGTTAAGACTGAAAAAGTTAGGAATTTGGAATGTGATATTTGCCACAAGATGTACGCCTCCAAAGACGTACTTAGGAAGCACCGGAAGAAGGTTCATGGGGTGAACAAGAAGTATCCTTGCATTAAGTGCGATAGGGCGTTCGACACCCAAGACGAGCTCAGTAAGCACAATAAGTGGCATGCTGGATACCGGGCATTTTCTTGCGTGTACTGCGCCAATAGCTTTACGGAGGAGTCTGGACTGAAAATTCATATGAAAAGGTAAGAATCGACTTGTAAAACAGATTGTCAGGTTTACAGGGTATTAATTGAATCGGAACAAACAAAAAAGACATAGGTCCTGAATAGGGTTGTTGACTATAAAAACAAACCATATACAAATTGTTGTTGATACTAAGATTTTATATAAAAGAACCTGCTTGTATAGTAAAATTTTAAATATATGATAAATTAGTGGTAGAAATCATTTATGAATTTTTGTGTTACTTAAAAACTATAGTCTGACGTCATAAGGGGCAATTGAACAAGAAGCTAGTAGAGATCCTATTGCATAATTTTGAAGAAGAAAATATATCCAAATTGTTCATCAAACCCTGATGCCTTGTTTCCTGTTTTTTAAACAAAAGTGACAGTAGTGACACTAGTGACAGCAGTCTATCAATTAAGAGTATTTGTGATAGTTATTATTAATTTCCTGATTGTAATGGATTCAACAAAATTTAAGTGGTGCTTTGTTCCACATTCCACATAGCCAATTGCATTATCTCCATAAGACTCCCGAACTGCACTATAATTTTCCGTAAATAAATAGGTATTTATATTTATTATTTATATTATAAATAAACACAATAAAATCATTCATTAAATATGTTAATCCTTACCTGACTGCTTTTATACCTCTGATTTCGCCAATATTAAAACGGTCGTCTCTTTTTAAAAATTCAATTCATGATCATAAAAATATCAATTTTCGGTAAAATTT